TTTTGATGTAGTGTTCCATGATTCATTGTTTGTGCATAACACCCAGTGCTCCATGCAGAACATGCCCTCTTTAATACCCATCACCAGGCTAACCCACCCCCCACCCCCTCCCCTCTAGAACCCTCAGTGTGTTTTTCAGAGAAGGACGAAAGCTTTTGGTCTAGTCTATGCAAAGGATAACTTGAAATCATTTGTGAATATTCTATATCTTCCTTACTTTAATTGTTCTCTGAAGCATATGTAAAAAGTAGAATTGCAGTGTTTCACCCTAAGCACCCAGAAATTTCCAGGGGTATGGAAAAATACCAGAGAACGTAGAGCTGATTAACCTTATGATTTATTGCTATGTAACTTTAGGCAAGTTTTTTTTTTTTTTTAAGATTTTATTCATTTAATGGATAAAGAAGATACACAACGGAATATTATGCAGCCATCAAAAAATGAAATCTTGCCATTTGCAACAATGTGGATAGAACTAGAGGATATTATGCTAAGTGAAATAAGTCAATCAGAGAAGGACAATTATCATATGATCTCACTGATATGGGGAATTTGAGAAACAAGACAGAAGATCATAGGGGAAGGGAGGGAAAAATGAAACAAGATGAAACCAGAGAGGGAGACAAACCTAAGAGACTCTTAATCTCAGGAAACAAACTGAGGGTTGCTGGAGTGGAGGGGTTTGGGAGGGATAGGGTGGCTGGGTGATGGACATTGGGGAGGGTATGTGCTATGGTGAGCGCTGTGAATTGTGTAAGACTGATGAATCACAGACTTGTACCCCTGAAACAAATAATACCTTATATGTTAATAAAAAAGAGTACAATAAAAAAAAGATTTTATTTATTTATTTGAGAGAGATAGCAAGAGAGAGAGCATGACTGGGGGGCAAAGAGAGGGAGAATCAGGCTCCCCACTGAGCAGGGAGCCTGATGCAGGGCTCGATCCCAGGACCCCGAGATCACCACCCAAGCCAAAGACAGATGCCCAACAGACTGAGCCACCCAGGTGCCCCAAGTATTCTTTTTTTATTTGAATGAATATGTTCTATATACTTACCAGGCACCAGGAATACAAGCATTTAGTCATTCATCCAAAAAGAAAGGAAAGAATGACAGGGTGCCTGGCTGGCTCAATTAGTAGATGTGACTCTTGATCTTGGGGTTGTGAGTTCGAGCCCCACGTTGGGTGTAGAGATTACTAAGAAAAATAAATAAATTAAAAAAAAAAACAAAGAGTGAAAAAAGGAATACAGCATGAAATCAATGCTTGATACTTACATATTATGTCATATTCACAACCATCCTATGAGTTTTAAATATACCTATTTAGAGGGGAAATCTGAAGGTCAGAGTAAGTAGTTAAGCCACAAAGCCAATAAATGGTGGAACTATGAAGTTATGGGATAAGATTGAGAACAATTATGTGTCTGACTCCTTATAAAATGTTTTATCACTACATATTTGCTGCATCCAGATATTATCTACCATCTGTGTTCTGTCTCTGAATGAAGCTGGGCTTCATAGATGGGGTCTGCTTTCTATCTCTACCTCATTTATTACTAATAGCATGGCCTTGTGCTAGTTATTTTAACCTCATCCAGTCTGCTGCTTCATCTGTATTATCTGTATCATGAGGTAATATAACTTCTTCATATGGTTTTCTGAAGCTTGGGAAAATAAGACAATGCTCGTGGGCACTTAATTAATGGCAGGGTATTATTATGGCACAGCTAAGGAAATTACAATACACAGAGATCAAGGTAGTAGTAAATGTTCACACAGTTCAGTGATATCTATGCCAGGGCCAGAATATAGAACCTACTTCTGCAACAGGCAGAAGACATGAATAGACATTTTTTTTTCCCAAAGACGACATCCAGATGGCTAACAGACACATGAAAAGATGCTCAATATCTTTCATCACTGAGGAAATGCAAATCAAAGCCAAGATGAGGGGCGCCAGGGTGGCTCAGTTGGTTGAGTATCTGATTCTTGATTTTGGCTCAGGTCACAATCTCAGGGTTGTTGAGTCTGCTTGGGATTCTCTCTCTCTTTGCCCACCCTTCTGCCCCCCGCCAGCCCCAGTGTGCATGTGCACGTGAACACACGCTCTCTCTCAAAACAAAACAAAACAAAACACAGCGAGATACCATCTCACACCTGTCAGAATGGCTAAAATTAACAACACAGGAAACAACAGATGTTGGCGAGGATGTGGAGAAAGGGGAACACTTTTCCACTGTTGGTGGGAATGCAAACTGGTGCAGCCACTCTGGAAAACAGTATGGAGGTTCCTCAAAAAGTTAAAAATAGAGCTACCTTATGACCCAGCAATTGCACTACTAAGTGTTTACCCAAAGGTTACAAAAATACTGATTTGAAGGGGCACATTGCACCCCAATGTTTATAGCACCATTATCAACATTAGCCAAACTATGGAAAGAGCCCAAATGTCTATCGACTGATGAATGGATAAAGATATATATATATATATATAGATATATATATGTATATATATATGCCATCAAAAAGAATGAAATCTTGCCATTTGCAACAGTGTGGATGGAGCTAGAATGTATTATGCTAGGCGAAATAAGTCAGTTGGAGAAAGACAAATACCATATGATCTCACTCATGTGGAATTTTAAGAAACAAAACAGATGAACATAGGGGAAGGGAAAAAAAAGGAGAGAGGGAGGTAAACAATAAGAGAGTCTTTTTTTAAAGGATATTTATTTATTTATTTATTTATTTATTTATTTATTTATTTATTTATTTAATAGAGCGAGAGATAGAGTGAGCGAGCATAAGCACAGGGAGCAGCAGAGGGAGAGGGAGAAGTAGGCTCCTCGCTGAGCAGAGAGCCCAGCATGGGGCTCCATCCCAGGACCCCGAGACCATGACCTGAATCGAAGGTAGACACTTAACCGACTGAGCCACCCAGGTGCCCCAAGAATAAGAGAGTCTTAACTGTAGAGAGACAACTGAGGGTTAATGGAGGGAGGTGTGTAGGGGGAGGGGCTAAATGGGTGATGAGTATTAGAGAAGGCACTTGTTCTGATGAGCATTAGGTGTTATGTGTAAGTGATAATCACCAAATTCTACACCTGAAACCAATTTTACCATATATGTTAACTAACTAGAAATTAAAAACTTGGGATAAAAAACCTATTTCTGCTTATTCGGAACTCTTTCTATTAGCAGACCAAAAAGATTAGGAGCTCAGGATTATGAAGTAAGTTTTCAGAGGGTAGAGATGACCAATCCTGACCCCAGATTCCAAAATATGGCCAACCAATGAATATTTGTTATGTGTCTCTGCAGTTTTAGCTGCTGATGAAACTGACAAACAAGATCAACAAAGTTCCTGCTCTTGAGCTTATATTCTAGTGAAAAGAGCAAATTATAAATAAATAAACAAAATAATTTCAAGCAGTGGTAATTGATAACAGATTGATGTGAGAGAACCTGTCTAGGTAAGGGATAGAATCATGCCTTAAATGATGATAAAGTACTGGGAGGAAGATTGTCCTGGGCAGGAGGAAACAATGCAAATGGAAAGTTCCCCTGATGGTAATGATCTTGGTGTGTTCAAGGCACAGAAAGAAACTAGTGCAAGTGACCACTGAAAGTGAGGATGAGAGCTCTGGAAAATGAGATTCAGTGAGGTAGGGCAGAGGCCGGCTAAGGCAGGGTCTTGAGAGTCATGGTAAAAAAGTTGTGAGTTTTTAGTTGTTGCAATGGGGAGCTATTGGTGTGCTTTATGTAGGAGTGTTATCCTACTTGCCTTATATTTCTATTTTTTAAAGATTTTATTTATTTTGAGAGAGAGAGAGAGCATGAGCAGGAGAGAGGGGCAGTAAGAGAGCAAGAGAGAAGCGGACTACCCGCTGACCAGGGAACCTGATGCAGGGCTCCATCCCAGGACCCTGGGATCAGGATTTATGCCAAACGCAGGAGCTTAACCCACTGAACCACCCAGGCGCCTCTACCTAGCTTATATATATATATATATATATATTTTTTTTTTTTTTTTTAAGATTTTATTTATTTATTTGACAGGGAGATAGCGAGAGCAGGAACACAAGCAGGGGGAGTAGGAGAGGGAGAAGCAGGCTTCCCGGTGAGCAGGGAGCCCGATGCGGGGCTCCATCCCAGGACCCTGGGATCATGACCTGAGCCGAAGGCAGACGCTTAACGACTGAGCCACCCAGGCGCCCCTCTAGCTTATATTTTTAAAAGGATCACTCTGGTTGCTCTCTGCAGAATGGACCATGGGAAGACCATAGTGGAAGCAGTTAGGGTGTCTGGGATTAGGTTTATGTTAGTGTTATTGTATACAAGCAAGTGCAAATTCTCATAATCTTGTTTGACCTCCAAAACGAAAGAGTTCCACTTTCCTCTTCCATCATCTCATATAGCACTTATAACTATCACTGAAGCATGTACTTTTTTATTGTCTGTCATTCTCATTTAGGGTCGCCACATAAAATACAGGCGCTCTGTTAAAATCGCATTTCGGTAGAGTAACTTTTTTTTTACTATGTGTTCCCAAATATTGCATGGGAAATACTAAAAAAAAAAAACAAAACAAAAAACCAAAAAACCCCCAAACTATTCGTTATCTGAAATGCAAATAAACGGGGCACCCTGCATTTTTATGTGCTAAATCTGCCAACTCTACCCCCACTAGAATGTGAACTCCAAGAGGGCAGGAACCACGTCTGTCTGCTCCCCCACCTACGTCGTGGCATAGTGCCTGCCGGGCACATAGTGAGAGCCCCTCACAGGCTCACGGAAGGAATTAATGAAGGATTTAAGGAAAGAGTGAGTCCCTGAATAAAAGAATGCACGAGAGCGTCTTGGTGCGGACGGGCGGACGGGAGAAGACGGAGAGAATCGGCTGGGTGGGGGCACGACATTGGCCGACAGCTGCCGGGAGGCGAGGAGCGGCCGACGCGCTGAGGTCACGGGCGCCCGCGGCCCTGGTGACGTCATCACGCCCGCGCTCTCCGCTCCGCCGGGGTTTCAGTGGCGCCGGCGCCCCCTCGGCTGTTGTGGTGACTGGGGATTTCTGGTGACCCCGGCCCACCGCAGGTCGCCTGCGGAGCGGTCCAGTACCGGCAGTGGCCCTCCGTCCTTGTCATTGACCGTCCGCCCGCAGGCCTGGCCGCTCCCCCGCGGGGAGAATTTCTCAGGGCCATGTCCAGGCCGAGCAGCGTCTCCCCGCGGCCGCCGGTTCCTGGCGGCGGGGGCGGCCCAGCTCAGTGCGGCCCTGGGGGCGGGGGCCGGGCCAAGGGGCTGAAGGACATTCGTATAGACGAGGAGGTGAAGATCGCAGTCAATATCGCTCTGGAGCGCTTCCGATACGGGGATCAGAGAGGTGAGGTTCCCGACAGGGACCCCGCCGGCTGCCCCGCCTCCCCCCAAGCCGGGACCCACCGTGTGAAGCGGCCGCCTCAGAGTGGGGAGGGAAGGCCTGGGCCGCCCCCGGGCCCACTGGAGCGGGTCTCCCCGGCGGGCCGGGGCCGCGCTTGTTAGCGCTCGGTGGGATGCACGGCGTCCTGCGGATCGGCAGGGTTAAAGCACTTGCCTGGCGTTAATCAGAAGGTGGAAGAGTCGGGTTGCTCCTTAGCAGGAGGCGTTTCTTTCCCCAGAGAGAGGCTTGTAGGCAGCTTGGGGCGTCTAACCCACAGTTTTTAGGTATTGGTACACCCCCACCCTTTTTTCTTTTTTTTAAAGATTTTATTTATTTGAGAGAGAGAGAGAATGAGAGACAGAGAGCATGAGAGGGAGGAGGGTCAGAAGGAGAAGCAGACTCCCCGCTGAGCAGGGAGCCCGACGCGGGACTCAATCCCGGGACTCCAGGATCATGACCTGAGCCGAAGGCAGTCGCTTAACCAACTGAGCCACCCAGGGACCCCTTATTACTTTTTTTTTTTAAAGATTTTATTTATTTATTTGACACAGAGAGAATGAGAGAGAGAGAGCATGAGAGGGGGAGGGTCAGAGAGAGAAGCAGACTCCCCGCTGAGCAGGGAGCCCGATGCGGGACTCGATCCCGGGACTCCAGGATCATGACCTGAGCCGAAGGCAGTCGCTTAACCAACTGAGCCACCCAGGCGCCCACCCCCACCCTTTTTTTAAAGGAAATTGTGGTAGTCTTAGTTGAGGCACGTTTAAGCTGCAGGAGAAGAGCAGAGGAAATCAGACATGCAGTGGCAATATGTAGAGTTTTGTTTAAATCCCGAAAGCATCACGCTTAAACACTTAAGAAAATTAAACTGGTTTTGGTAGACGTCTTTCACACCTCTTAAGGATGGAAAGCTACTTGTCCTGTGTCGTACAGTGCAGAACCGCAGCCGACCCGAGGTGATCAGTACAACGTACTGAGTGCCCATTCCGATTTGCTGGCCCAAGTAGGGGACCTTGACCTTGGAAACTTACAATCCAGAACAGGCAATGACTTGGACAGAGAGAACTTACATTAAACAAAGCCTCAGCATTATGAAAGCAACAAATCCAGTCTGAGGTATAGTGAAATATGAATTCGGTAGTTTGGAAAGCAAAGACAGTGGACTTTGACGTTGAGCATTCATCATGCTTGAGCATCGCTCATCACAGAAGGAAATGAATCTTTTTGTTAAGCAAGTAAGGACTAAACTAAGTTAAAATAGTAAAATATGTTCATCAGTCATTCTACCAATTGAAGATTCCAGCACAAATAAGAGGAGTAATCTTTGGTGAACATGAGAATCCTCTATCACATTTAGATTTAATTTTTATTAATATGGTAATTCTGATAGACATTCAGTAGTTAATCGAATTAGTACCTACTTTTCACATAAAATGACCTTTTCACATAATGTGAAAATGACTTTTCACATAAAATCACATATGCTTATATGATTTTTTTTTTTTAGAGCACTTGTTGGGGGAGGGGCAGAGAGATGGAGAGAGAGAATCTTAAGCAGATTCTACGCCCAGCGTGGAGCTGCACTTGGGGCTCGATCTCACAACCCTGAGATCATGACTGGAGTAGAAATCAGGAGGTGGGTGCTCAACTGACTGAGTTACCCAGGCGCCCGTTTTTTCATATTTTATATCTGTATGTTTATTGAAGAACCTTGAAAGAAAATTTTATATTCCCAAATGGTACTTTCTTTTTTTTTTTTTTTCATATAGAAATGGAATTTCCTTCTTCTTTGACCAGCACTGAAAGAGCTTTTATTCATCGATTGAGTCAGTCTCTTGGTTTGGTCTCTAAAAGTAAAGGGTAAGCTGATAGCTTTTCTTATTTAAAAAGAATTATTTACCAAAAAAAGAAATGTTCCTGACTTCATTTAAATAGTTATTACTGTTTTAGATTCATGTACTTAATTATATTGTAGATAAACTGATTCATGTCTGTACCAAACTCAGCTCTTTGCTTTTCCTCCTATCTTGCCCTTTTTTGTTTTCCCTTAGGGGTTAAAAAAAAAGTAAAATTTAAAATGTAAGAAAAATAGTTTAAAAGTTGAAGTTGCTTGCTTGAGGAAAATGTTTTTTTTTCATAGAAACTAAGTCTCTTTTTTTAAACAGAATGGAGGGACGAAAGATAAGTACAATTATTTACAGAACTATTTCTTTCAATGTTACTGTACTGTAGTGGTAACTTTAGAATACATAATCATTGTTTTCTTTCTTACCAGCTCAAGAATCTGATGATTGGAAAAGACTAAATAAAATGGAAGAAACAGTATATATATTTTTGAGGGCCACTGATCCGTAGGGGAAAAAGTCATTTGAACCATCCAAATTGAAGAACTCTATGATTACGTGAAGCAATTTCATTTTGGGAATAAGGATGAAGGGGTTGATATATAGCAGGGTTTCTCAATATTGGCATTATTAAAATTGCAAACCGGATAATTATTGTGGAGGACTGTCTTGTGTATTGTAGCATATCTAACCTTACCCAGTAGCACCTCCACCCGCAGCTGTAACAACCAAAAATGCTTCTAGACATTGCCAAAATGTTCCCTGAGGAGCAAAGTTGCCTCTGGTTAAGAACCAAGGAGGAGGGAAAGAAAGATAAAATTTCAGCTTACCAGGGTTTAGGTTAAGAAGAGAGAAAACAAAAGATTATGAGGTCATTATTTTTAACAGCAGGAAGGTCCTAAGATGAAAGTATCTGATGTAGGAATGTCTGGCATTTGAATGCCCACAGTGATACATTACTGAGTAAGATGGGATTTAGCTTAGGTGAATGTGCATTTTGAACATCACTAAGGCCAGTGCCGGAAACAGTGGTAGGTTTTGAGCATGCCCATATTATAGTCCTCTGGATACGTTAAATACAGCACTTGCAGATGAAAAGAGTACAGGGCCATAATCCTTTATCCAAAAACACCTGGAACAAGTGGATTTTGAGATTCAGATTTTAGAAACATTTTAGGGTGTATTTGCAGTATGTTATGTAATACCCCTCATAAGGTGCAGGCATCACCTTTAATCAATATTTCTGCTGGAAAACATGAATATTCACAGTAAAATAAATAAATACTGGAAATAGCCTCATGTCAATGTAATCAGGCTTTCCTGCCAAATGAAGTTGCTGCCTTTAACCTTAAAAACCTACAAAACCATCTGCAAGTCCAACAAACAAAAGATAGGAACATTATTTTATGGAGAAGGAGGAGGAAGTTGGGAGGGGTTTTGAACAAAAGTGCATTGGAGAGAAGTAAGAAGGGTGATGATGGTTTCTCATTGGCTGGGTTTTGGAGTGGTCAGTTTCTTGTAGAAGAAGAAACAGCAATGTAAATCTTCCTGTTGGGGCCTGGAATTGAAACTCCTTTGCTTTTTTTTTTTTTAAGAGTAGGAGAGAAAGAGGGTGGGGGACGGAGGAGGTAGGGGCAAAGGGAGAGGGAGATAGACAATCTTAAGCAGGCTCCACACCCAGCATAGAGCCTGACACAAGGCTCGATCTCATAACCCTGAGATCATGACCTGAGCCGAAATCAGGAGTTGGACTCATTGAGTCTTTTTTTTAAAATATTTTATTTATTTATTTGACAGAGAGAGACACAGCAAGAGAAGGAACACAAGCAGGGGGAGTGGGAGAGGGAGAAGCAGGCCTCCTGTGGAGCAGGGAGCCAGATGTGGGGTTCCATCGCAGGACCCTGGGATCATGACCTGAGCTGAAGGCAGACGCTTAACGACTGAGCCACCCAGGTGCCCTGGGTCTCATTGAGTCTTTTCTTTTTTTTTAAAGATTTTATTTATTTGACAGAGAGAGACAGCAAGAGAGAGAACACAAGCAGGGGGAGTGGGAGAGGGAGAAGCAGGCTTCCCGCTGAGTAGGGAGCCCGATGTGGGGCTCCATCCCAGGACCCTGAGATTATGACCTGAGCGGAAGGCAGATGCTTAAGGACTGAGCCACCTAGGCACCCCCAAACTTCTTTCCTCTTGAGGAAGTTGGGTCTGTAATTGACAATTCTTCCTGTAATTGACATGAGTAGCTTGGCTTTCCCTACAGATCTCCCTTTTTAGCATCCCCTCTCCACTTTAGTAAGGTTTCCCTTTATTAATTTTCACATTGCAAACTTGCAGAAATCTTCCGGTTTTCATTGTTGCTTGGGTTAAGATTGCAGATAAGAGATTGTGGGTCTTCACCAGAAAGCATCTGTTGTAAGGCACAGTTCTGTAGCTACGTTATTTCTATGGTCAAATGGGTTCTGAATTCTGAACAGTTAACTTGGAAATGACCATTAGAAATTACCCTTAGAAAAGCAGTCCATTAGAATGGACTACATCTGCTTCTGTTCAGTAGCATGATTGTTTAAGGGTTGGTCCTGAATGGAGAAACCTGGGGAAGGGGAGAGAGCAAGATAGAAGATAGAAGTTATCAGGACAAAAAAAGGTGGGTGAGGAAACACTGAAGGGACAGAGAGGAAAAAAGATGCTAAGGGAAGCCAGGCAACCCTGCATTCTCATCTAGGCCATAGTACCTATTCCTAGTGGTCTGCAAATCCTGTTAGGAAATGTCCTAGTGCTTTCCCTCCCCTTTTATCTTTGATTAAAGGTAGTACGATGCTTATCTGTCCTTGTGATTTTCAGATGCCTTTCTTTTCACATATATGATGTACTTTGAGTATGGTTGTCATATCCTTTCTTTTCACTTATATGAGAATTTGTACCTGACTTTCATTTTCATGGGTTTTCCTGTTTACCTTTTTTTTTTTTTTTTTAAGAATTAAGACATCCTTTCTTCCATAGAGATGGAAAGGATGTCTTTTTTTTTTTTTTTAAGATTTTATTTATTTGAGAAAGAGAGAATGAGATAGAGAGAGCATGAGAGGGAGGAGGGTCAGAGGGAGAAGCAGACTCCCTGCCGAGCAGGGAGCCCGATGCGGGACTCGATCCCGGGACTCCAGAATCATGACCTGAGCCGAAGGCAGTTGCTTAACCGACTGAGCCACCCAGGCGCCCCCTGTTTATTTGAGTAAAGGATTTTTTCCCCCCACTTCCTAGCATAACTTCATTGACTTAGTAAGTTAGTATTTCTTTTGTACCTGGTATCATGGTTGCTTAATAGGTATTTGAGAGAGAGCCTGGTGTGGAGGAAGAGGGAGGAAGGTTGGATTTCACTCCCAGTGTCTCACTGCCTCATTCTCTAGTTTTGGTCATGGCCCTTAACTTTCAAGGCCTGTTTTTTTAAATGTAAAGTATGAAGGAGTTAAGTCTCTTTGTTTTAGTTCGGATTCTGTGATTCTGTAGTTTACTTTGAGTATTTCATGAGGTTTAAAAATAGATTCCAGGCGGGGTGCCTGGGTGGCTGAGTGGTTGAGCGTCTTGAGTGTCTGCCTTCCTTCGGCTCAGGTCCTGATCCCAGGGTTCTGGGATCCAGCCCCGCATCGGCTCCCCGCTGAGTGGAGAGCCTTCTTGTCCCTCTCCCACTCCCCCTGCTTGTGTTCCCTCTCTCGCTGTGTCTCTCTCTGTCAAATAAATAAATAAAATCTTTAAAAAAAAAAATAGATTCTAGGCTTACTGTGTGAAAGTTGACAATTATTTTTTCTCATCACTTTCTCTTTTTTGCTCTTCTTTCTTTCAAAAAGCAGCTGTCTGTGTTAGATTTTGTTTTTCATTTCCTCCTGAAGAGTTGAATTGATTTTGCAGTTGATTACTTATTTTGGATTACTTTTTATAACTGCTCATCTTTTGGTGAAAATTCTCTTGTTGGAGTAACGTCCCCATTTTGTGTTCTTTAGTGTAGCCTAAAGTTTTGTTTGAAATTTTAGGCAAGCTTTCCCATACCAATATTTTACCTCCTCATAATTTCCTTTTTTCCTCAACTGAGGTCTGAATTTTGGTTTTAAGAGCATACTTTTCTGAATCTTTGACTTGTTCATGAACAAAACAGAATTTCTTTCCTGTTCTTCCTAGTCCAAGTGACACAAAATGAAATTTACAAAATGAACTTTGTTAAAGACTTGTGGAAAGAGAAACTATAAAGTACATGAAAATAGGTTTTCCAGGTACAGGTTTCTTACCCTGTGTTTGCTGACGTCCCTGCTTCCTAGGTATCCACGTGTTCTAGTCACCCTGACTGGAAGGCTGTACCCTGCAAGAAAGCCCCCTTTTCAGATTCGGGTTCCTGCCTCCCTTGCCTCTTGATTGGGAAGGTTGTGTACTGCACTCTCCTTTTCTGCCCCTACTTAAAATAGGAAAAATTGGTTAAAAGTGACTTAAGTGTTTTACTGACTTTTTGGGCATCCATTGAAAAGAAACAGCCTACAGTGCCTAAGAGTAATAATAGTGACAGCTCACGTTCATTAAGTACTCATATGCAGCAGGCCTTATGCTAATGGCTTTAAGTAGATTAGTTAATGCTCACAATAGTCTTTTTTTTTTTTTTTTTTTTAATTTGAGAGAGAATGAGACAGAGAGCACATGAGAGGGGGGGAGGGTCTGAGGGAGAAGCAGACTCCCTGCCGAGCAGGGAGCCCGATGCGGGACTCGATCCAGGGACTCCAGGATCATGACCTGAGCCGAAGGCAGTCGCTTAACCAACTGAGCCACCCAGGTGCCCTCACAATAGTCTTAATCAGTAGATTCTCTTAATAACATCTGGTATCTGTATAGCAGATGAAGCAGTTCAGGGTTGGAGATGTAAGTAATTTTCCCAAGATCACGCAGCTAGCAAGGGGCAGAGCCAGGATTTGAACATAGTTAATGCTTCATTAATTTTTGATTGTTCACAGTGGGTTCATGGCAATGTCCTAGGAGCTGTGAGGAGTTAAACTGGAAACATTAGCTAGGTCTTGTCTTTAAGTTGTTTATAGTCCAAAGTCACAGAATGAACCAGTGTACCACCATCATGGTGTCCATGACATGAGAGCAACTTTGTTTAGTGACAAAGTTAACTGGTTTATTAATTTCCACATAGTCATAAAAGAAAGTATGAATTAGTATGATACAAACTTTAATAAATTTACAATTCTATACTACAGTATTGGGAAGAGAACAGTTTGGAGTTTTGTATCTTTCTGCCTAATGGAAGTATAAATTAAGGAAATAGGAAATGATGCATTTGTAAGGCATCATATGAATGTGGATTATTTTTTGAGGCATTAGGTCCTTGGTGGCTATGAGCTTTTTTTTTTTTTTTTAAGATTTTATTTGCTAGAGAGAGAGAGTACAAGCAGGGGAGCGGCAGGCAGAGGGAGAAGCAGGTTCCCCGCTGAGCAAGGAGCCCGATGTGGGACTCCATCCCAGGACCCTGGGATCATGACCTGAGCTGAAGGCAGCCATTTAACCGACTGAGTTACCCAGGCGTCCCTGGCTGTGAGCTTTTTAAAGATTTCATTTATTTATTTGACAGAGAGAGAGACCGCGAGAGAGGGAACACAAGTGGGGCAGTGGGAGAGGGAGAAGCAGGCTTCCTGTGGAGCAGGGAGCCTGATGTGGGGCTCAGTCCCAGGACCCTGGGATCATGACCTGAGCCAAAGGCAGATGCTTAATGACTGAGCCACCCAGGTGCCCCTGTGAGCTTTTTAAGTTGTCATTTCAGATTTTGGTTCTTTAGCTGATTAAAAAAAAAAAAAATTATTTGAGAGAGAGAGTGTGCGCATGCTCAGAGGAGGGGCGGAGGGTGAGGTAGAGAGTGTGTGCGCATGCACATGTGTGAACCGGTGGAGGGGAGAGGTAGAGGGAGAGAGAGAATCCTCAAGCAGGGCGCCGGGGTGGCTCAGATGGTTAAGCGTCTGCCTTCGGCTCAGGTCATGATCCCAGGGTCCTGGGATCGAGTCCCACATCGGGCTCCCGGCTCAGCGGGGAGCCTGCTTCTCCCTCTGACCCTCTCCCCTCTCATGCTGTTTCTCTCTCGCTCGCTCTCTAAAAAATAAATAGAATCTTAAAAAAAAAAAAAAAAAAGAATCCTCAAGCAGACTCCCCCCTCAGCACTGAGCCGGACACGGGGCTCGATCTCACAACCCTGAGATTATGATCTGAGCTGAAACCAAGAGTTGGGTGCTTAACCAACTGTGCCACCCAGGTGCCCCCTAGCTGATTTTTTAAACTGTTTACAGATTTGGAGAGTAGAGAATAGTAAGGCATATGGTTGTATTTGAGTTAAATGTTCAGTAACATGCTGTGTAAATTGATAAATTCATATTAAAATTGCATCAAATTTGATGAGTTAATAGTTTTTCTTTAAAAGGAAGAAGCCAGGGGCATCTGGGTGGCTCAGTCGTTGAGCGTCTGCCTTCGGGTTGGGTCATGATCCCAGGGTCCTGGGATTGGGCCCCTCTTTGGGCTCCCTGCTCAGCTGGAAGCCTGCTTCTTCCTCTCTCACTCCCCCTGCTTGTGTTCCCTCTCTTGCTGTCTTGCTCTCTGTCAAATAAATAAAAATGAAATCTTTAAAAGGAAGAAGGCATTGAAATGCTGAAACTTCTGACAGCATGTATTGATTACTTTTACACTTTGAAAGTTAGGTGTTATAATGTTCTTGCCTGTAATATTAGCACATTTATGTTTAAAAATTGCATGTGGAGCTTGCATTTTATTTTGAAAAAATTATTGTGACATTAATTTGTTTAGCATCTTTTCCACATTGTGGTTTCTAGTTAATTTTGCCTTGAAAAGGAATCCCTTAATGGTTTTCTTCAAAAAATAGTGCTACTTTGGAAGGAAAGCATGATGAGATCTCAGTGTGTTAGTTTACAAAGTAGGACAAATCTCTGCTGTATTGAATGTTTTCATCCTCACAACGAGACAAATATTTTACCAAACATTTCACTAATCTTTTTATGATTTACCAGTGTCACTATGGTGCTGAATGTGGTAAGAATGAGTACTAAGAGCCACAAGTAGAATCTTACTAAAACATAAAAACCATGAAGTTGGTTATATCTTTCTACCCCACCATTTGTGTTCAAAATGAATTCAGTAAATTTTAAATGGTAATGGCTAAGTACTCACACATGCTTACTTTGAGTTATTTTTGTACATAAATGCTGTATTAGTAGTAGGCAACTTATGTTAGGAAAGTTTGAATCTGACCCATTTTAGTTGTGAGCTTGTTGAGGAGAGTATGTTTTACTCAACTTTGTAACCCCAGGTTCTAGCATAGTGCCTGGCATACAGTAGGTGCTCACTATATGATGAATGATTGAATGAATGAATGAATGAATGAAATAAAATTAGTTAAAGGTGAAATACAGCAAAACTTTCCAGAGACAGTTTTCAAAAAAATTAAAGCATCTTGGAGCTGATAGAAATAGTAGAGATTTCTAAATTAACTTGTATATAGTGTTAGAGAGATAAAATGATTTTTGATCACATAGCTAGTTAGTTGAACACAAGCCTCCTGACTCTTGGCTCTAGTGTTCATTTCAGCACACTTCCTGCCTTCTGTAGTTAAAAGTTTTATGAAATAAATGGCATAGGAGGGGAGTGAATGATTGCGTCTGTAATGACTGTGCTGAATTTTCAGAAAGGTCCTGGGAAACGAACCTACTGCAGAGATTATCTTTAGAATCCAGTAATTCTTATTTACCATGGAAATAACTGAAATTCCTAGATCAGGTTAAATTTGATTATTTCGTCTTTATCCCATAATTTAAAGATCACTAAGCACTTGTTAAGGAGTAGATGACAGTACTGAACATCTATAATTCATTAAAGCATTCCATAAAAAGTTTCTAGAAATTAAAAATCTTGGTAAAAGGCGAAAGACAAAAATCTCACTTAAGAAGGCTTAGACAGCTAAAACTATAGGTTAATCGCCAGTTTTTTATTGTTTTTACAATGAAAATATTGTTGAAAAGTTTTAAATCTAATGCATATTAGGAAAAGTGTACATGTACTTTTTATTTGTGGCTTTGTTGCTCACTTCTGTAATATGATAGTGATAGTAACAAATGGTAGAACATTTTATGAAATATTTTGGGTAACTTTTTAAAAATAAGTGATTTTTCCCCCCAGACTATATAATAATAGCTTTCATTCATTTAATACTTACCTTGTAACAGATGTTGCCCTTTATATGCATTATCTTTTTTAGTCATATGAGTAATCTCTTGAGGCAGGTATTACTATTATCTTCGGCTCAGAGCTTTTAGATAATTTGCTTATAGTCCCACAGCTAAGTGATAGAGCTAGAATTCAAACCCAGGTTGGTATGGTTTTACAGCCTGAGTGCTTTACGAGTACTATATTTTACTAGATTATGGACATGCATTATCAAATCAGTCAAAACACATTTGAGGACTTCCTGTGTGTATAACATTGTACCTGGTACTCTTGGAGCTACAAAAGTTGTAAAAGATGTTGTCGGTCCTGGACCGACAGAAGAAACAAATATACCTACGTCAAATAATTTGAATACAGCTATAAATCATCATTACCTTATAACTGAAGGCCAGAGCCCGAAGCTTTGAAAAATTTCTTTTTCCCAAGATGCATATGAAAATACTTACCAGTAATGTTGATTTATGCTTTTTTGGTCCAGCCACTAAGCTTGGTTCTCTTAACAGTTTTCATGGGATGTGACATTACCAGCATACTATGGAAACGTTCAGTGGGTGATATTAGTCTGGAGAGTGAACCATAACTTTTTTATTATCATTTTTAGATTCTGTTGTTCAGATTGGTTTTCTCCCTCTGTATGCTTCCAACTGGTGATGTTTCATCCACCATGAAGTCTGCTAAGACAAACTTTAACATTTGTGGGTAAGTAGGCCACTTTTGAGGTTTAAAACCTGGATTTGCAGCAGTTTGAAATTTTAATTGAAAATGGTCTTGTGGCCACTTCGGCACCAAACCCCTCCTTATTGACTTTTTTTGGGATTTTCAGCATCTTCTCCCAAAGCATTTTGATTTTTTTCAATGTTTTGCTTGAGACGTGTTTTCTAAGTAGGCATACGTCATTTGTGAACAAATTGACTATATGTAGTAAATAAATGATTTTTATTAATATTCAGAAAGGGAGCAAATAGATACCTAACTGTGAAGAAGAAAGATGGATCAGAAACAGCTCATGCAATGATGACCTGTAATTTGACTCATAATACAAAACATGCTGTTAGGAGCCTAATTCAGAGATTTCCTGTCACCAATAAAGAGCGTACTGAACTTCTGCCTAAAACAGAAAGAGGAAATGTGTTTGCAGTTGAAGCTGGTATGTATTTTCTGGGGAGCTTCCTTGTCTATCCTATTATTTGATGACTGTTCTTTTACCATTTTAAATTTATTAAAAAAAAACCCAAGATGCGATGAGATTTCTCAGTTTGAATCAAGAACTGTGAAAATTTTGGAACGAAATGCAGTGTTAAGGCACGTGATCAAGTTAGACAAGTCTAAGTGTCGCAGTGATAGCTATCGTTTATGGAGCACCTATTGCGTGCTAGGCAGTATGCTAAACTCTTTATGTAGGGCCTCCTAGCAACTCTCCCAAGGTAAGAATTTCTTCTATCCCAGGGGCGATTAAATGGGCTCAGAGCAGTTAAATAATTTGTTCAAGGCTACTCAACCAGTCACTAAACCGCAGAGCTGGGATTTGACTCCAGGGTCTGGACTTCCTGTATTACACTGCCAAGACATGCTAATGAGTGAGCTTTTGAATTGGGGCTTTAGCTTCTGGTAAGAGGATAGAGTCAGTACACTAACTTGCTGAAAGGTAGATAAATAATATATTTAGGTTGTAAAATGTAGTTGTAATTTTATTATTTGGAAAAATAACTTCTTAGAAAATTATTATTTACCTAAAGCGACAGATATGCATAATTTCCATTGTCTGTTGGAGAAGGTTTGCAGAGTGTAGAAAATACATGGTCCTAGATAGCAAGGAATTTAAGTTCTAAAATGTTTTGATTTATGTGAAGAATATAAAACATCATGTCTCTTTTTTATTCCTATCTGCTTATTAATTAAATGCAGATGCTAGCTAAAATTTTCAGTTAGGACCTTATATTTACATATATTATTCTACTGATCACATAATCTTACATATTTAGCTTTACACAGACAGAATATTATTCTTTTCACAATGTGTTTTCATATCGTACATAACAGATGTTGTAATGCACATTGTTTCCCATTTTAGTTTTTTGTGTTTTTACTGATAGAAGCAAGCATGAAAACTCTTTTAGGATATCAGAATCCCGTTTTATTTTTAGTCATTATGGAGTGGTTGATTTTTGTTCATTTGTAAACACTGTGCACCAGAAATACTTTTAGAAATTTGCTTTTTGACTGATAACTGAAATTTGTAACTTGTTTTTAGAGTCTTAGGCGTAGGAGTACAGCAGTCGTGCATTGCTTGCTAACTTCATGTAGACTGAGTAGAGAGGAAACACTCGAATGGAATTACATTGGAAATTACTTATCTTTGTTTTCCACACTTTTTAAACATTGTTGACCATAAATTTTTTTTGTTGTTGTTCTTTTATTCATTTTCAAAGAAAACCGGGAAATGAGCAAAACAAGCGGGCGACTCAACAATGGCATACCTCAGATTCCAGTGGAAAGAGGAGAATCTGAATTTGATTCTTTCAGGCAGTCTCTGCCCGTGTTTGAGAAACAAGAAGAAATTGTTAAAATAATTAAAGAAAATAAAGTAGTTTTGATTGTAGGAGAAACTGGATCTGGAAAGACTACGCAGGTTTGTTTCTTTGTTGTTAATGGAAGAAAAAATATTTTTCCCACAGGATAGTTTTATATCAAATTTGTATTTTAACCCCAAATAAACCCCATTTGGTTACTTTAATGGTTATTTCAGAGATATTACTGGGAGTACATTTTGAGAATTTATAGAAAGGAAATGTTTTAAAATACTTTTAAGCTAGTACATTGGGCCTTCATTTAAATAGAAATGGGGATGTGATTGGGCATCTTAAAGCAATATGGATGAGGCTAGTCTTGTAACCTCCGTGAGCCAGAGCCCTCATTTGTAAAATGGAGCTAATAATTGCTCCCATTTACGGTGAAGGTTAGAGATGTCTGTAACGTGCTGATCAGTGTTTTGTACGTAGCAGCTAAATTAACAGCAGTATTAATAATGACGTGTTAATATAAAGTCGACTGTAGACATTGAGGCCTGCGCAGGTCCCAACCTGTCTGTGGTTTGGGGTTGCTATCCGCCTCATAAAGCAAAGTAGAGGGTTTGTCCTCTGGGAAGACAAAGTCGTCTTCTCCTCTGAGAAAGCCTCCTACATAGGTTGGCTTTGGCATCTTCTGGGAATAGGGAGGCAGGGATTGAGGCCTCAGGAGTCTGGGTTTTCGGCTGAGGTAGAGAAGACAGTGCTTATAACCAGAAAGTCCAGAGTTGGGTGTAAGTAATTGCCTCCGGGACTCATTACTGTTAACCCAGCCTGGGCTTCGTCACAAGTGTAGAAGGAGAGTCTATATTGATTCCATTCTACATTGTAGTATGACAGATTTGACCTGGATGTTTAGTATCAAAGTACTTCATTATGCAGTTTCTCTCTGGGTGACAGATTGGAAGTAAGTATGGCATAGTGATTTGACCTTGTTTATGTTCTTTACGTGTTCACATGTTAAAATAGTAAAATTACTTTGCTTTTGTTAGAGATTCAGATAGAATAGTCAATATAATTTTACATCTTTTCTTTTATGGACACATAAATTTGCTTTTGACAATTGCTTAACATTTCCTATGTTCATATTTGTTGGTGTAATAAACCTACTCCATAGGTAAGGCAAGGGAGTGGAGGCAAAGTTGACTATAAAGTTTACCACTTATTTACTTGAAGGACTTAACCATTTTTACAGAAGTATAACTATCCCTAAAACTTGAGCCTTTAAAACTAAATAATGAAAAACATGATGAAATTTTTATCTGAGCACGATATATAAGATTATTCTTCGGTGTGAGTCCTTTTATGATTAATTGAAATTCCATGGAGTCATTCCAGAGAATCTGTTCAGTTGTTGATTGTTTTAGTATTAGAGTAAGTTTTACCAGTAGGTTTTAATTGTACCGGTTCTAATTATATTGAACAGAGATTATGAGTGTTCACTTTGGCAGCACATACACTGAACAGAGATTATGAAAGTTTTGACAAATATAACAAATATGTTTTCATTTAAATTATTTGAATATTCTTGCTAAATGATCTTTGTATATGGGCATTAAGTATGCTTATTTTCACAATTATGTATATCATTTAATAGGTATGAAGATACTTGAGAATTTAATTAGAAATGAATTATTTGCTTTTTGCTTTTCAAGAAGAAACTATTAATCTAATGGGTTTACATCTAAGAAATGATCACACCTTATTTGAGGAGTTAAAGTAAAATTACTGATGTGTCTGTTTTATGAAATATAAATAGAATTTAAAGTTCATATCATTGGCCAGTTTCATCTTGCCTTTAGTAGCATTAGGAAGTTAATTGCCTTTTGCATTTTCATGTTCATTGTTCATGTTCATTATGTAAAATTCAAACATTATGGAAAATAGTACATAGAAAGTGAAAGATTTCTAATTCTCTTGCTACTCTCCATGTACTTTTTCTTTCTTTTTTTTTTTTTAAGATTTTATTTATTCGTCAGAGAGAGAGCACAAGCAGGGGCAGTGGCAGGCAGAGCAGGCAGACAGAGAAGCAGGCTCCCCACTGAGCAAAGAGCCCGATGCCGGGACTCAATCCCAGGATGCTGGGATCATGACCTGAGCGAAAGGCAGACGCTCAACTGACTGAGCCACCCAGGTGTCCCTCTCCATGCATTTTTGTCAGAAACTTGGGAGTATGTATTTCTGTTTTTTTTTTTTTTTTTTTTTTAAGATTTTATTTATTTATTTGGCAGAGAGAGAGAGACAGCGAGAGAGGGAACACAAGCAGGGGGAGTGGGAGAGGGGAGAAGCAGGCTTCCCGTGGAGCAGGGAGCCCAGTGCGGGGCTCGATCCCAGGACCCTGGGATTATGACATGAGCCAAAGGCAGACGCTTAATGACTGAGCCACCCAGGTGCCCTGGAGAGAGAGAATCTTAAGCAGACTCTACCCCCAGGGCAGAGCCCAACATGGGTGTTCGATCTGATAACTCTGAGATCATGACCTGGGCTGAAATCAAAATCAGGAGTTGGACGTTAACCAACTGGGCCACCTAGGGGCTCTGTATATGAATTTGTGTTTAATATTTTAGTTTCTCTTGTGAAAAAGATGTTTTAAAGTTACATTTCCTAGTTGATTGTTAGAAGTTACGTGAAAGTTGTTGATTTTATGATTATTTTATGTTAGGACATGTCACAGAACTTTTTTTTTAGTTCCAGTAGTTTTTCCATTGTGGTTGACTTGGACCTTCTGGGTATACAATCATGTCATCTCATAGGACTTTAAAACTTTCATTTCAGATTCCTCAGTTCCTTTTAGATGATTGCTTTAAAAATGGTATCCCCTGCCGTATATTTTGTACCCAGCCAAGACGGTTAGCAGCAATTGCTGTGGCCGAAAGAGTTGCTGCAGAGAGAAGGGAAAGGATTGGTCAAACAATTGGATATCAGATCCGGTTAGAAAGCAGGTAATGCTGGTTCTCCTGTAGCCTGTCTTCGATCATTCTTTGAAAAGACTAATGTTTCTCTTTCACTAAATACAGAGGATATATTGGTTGAAAAATTAGATGATCATTTTGCTTCAAGTAAGTCTTTGATAAGATGTTGAGGTCATGACTGAACTTAGTAAGGTTTTGAATACATAGCTTAAGAAAGAGTTGGGCCGTATATACGAAACCCTTTTCATAGTTTTATGATCAAATACAAGTTATTTCACCTCTTTAACCTCGGTTTTCTCATCTATAAAATGGGCCAATAAAAGCAGCTAGAGCCCAGGTTTGATGTGAAGTTTATAGTAAACAATAAATGGTAGTAACGGAATTGATTATTAGAAGTGGTACTAGTAGTACCTTCTTGATGAGTGGTACTGTTTCTTTGTTCTCAGTAGTTTGGATATAGTAATTCAGAAAGCTGCTCACTTATGATGCACTTTTTTCCCCTGAGCAAAAAGTGTTAAAGGTTTTTTTTAAAAAAAATCAATTTATGGTTCCTTAACAAAATAATCAATTAATTAAAGGCTGTTAGTAATAAAAATTTTGAAAATTATCAGGTATGAAATACATATTTCACATAACTTGGGTCATTAAGCATGCATACCAGTTTACCATTATATTAGTAACCTTAAGTAACCTTTGTTAAAGTACATACAAGACTAACATTTAATGTGATCATGTTTTCATTACATATAAGAGTTTTAATTGCACGCTTTATTTTTATTTTTTTAAAAAGGGTTTCTCCAAAGACACTTCTGACATTTTGCACTAATGGGGTATTGCTTCGTACGTTGATGGCAGGAGATAGTACATTGTCGACTGTGACACATGTTATTGTGGTAAGAATATTGCTGAGTTTGCCATATATAACTCAGATTGCTTAAAGCTTTGAATATGTAATGACATTTTTAGGATAGGGTATGCGTGAGAACCAGTTTTTTTGTACAGCTATTATAATCAAGTTACTTTTTATTGCCTATAATTGTTAGATGTAAATACTTGTATTAAGTAGAGATATTCTTACTGTCAGGTTTTATGAGGGCAAATAAAGTAAGTAGGTAAGTTTTTTCAAAAGTGCTTTTTACATGGGAAAATGATACACGTGCTTAGCATTCCCCAGAATGGTGAAAGTTTTCTTTTTTCTCTGTGCTTAGTCACCTGATTCCTCCTTTAGCTAATATGTATTTCCCAGTCTTAGGGGTACACTTAGTAGTCATTTAACTTCATAGTTAAGCTGCTAAATTAAGTAGCTGCTGATGAAGTAGATGAATTACCACCTTATTAAATTCTAAGTTTTTCTCGAGTTTGTGTCAGGAAAACATTAGATTAAATTGTATAAGTTTGCAATAAGGAGTTTTTGGAAACTTATTAGTTCTGTGCATTCAAACCAAAGGGTGCACCTGTGCCCGATGCTAACGGAAGCATATTTAAATATATTTTGTATGTATTAAAAGTACATCAAATTAGACTCCAGTAATTCAGAATTTGTTGTAGTTTGCGTCTTTTATATCTTCTAAGAGGCAGTGCTTTGTTACCCACAGTGGTTGTTGATGTTTGATTATTTCTGAATTGTCCATAATACAAAATTTTCATGAGTACTGATTGGCCTTATTCACATTTAATTTGAATTAGTATAAAACCTAGCAGGTCCATAATTTTAAAGGCTTAGTCATCCATAATGTTTTGACTATTCCATGGTTTTATTTTTGTTTACTGCAGGATGAAGTACACGAAAGGGATCGATTTAGTGATTTTTTACTTACGAAGTTAAGAGATCTTTTGCAAAAGCACCCAACTTTGAAACTTATTCTTTCTAGTGCCGCCTTGGATGTAAATCTTTTTATAAGATATTTTGGAAGTTGTCCAGTGATATATAGTAAGTTAAATGATCAGATTTCTTCTAGGATTTTTATGAAAGTATACTTTTTGGCATGATTATATTTATTGTAATAGGAGTTGGGAATGGTCTGAAGTAGAGAGCATCCATTTCTCTTTTCTCTGAGGTATGCCTCAAAAACTCTCTAGATCTTCATCTATTCCTTTTCCATCCACACTCTTTGGGACTGTGTTGGGAGGGCAGTTGTCCTGTCTTAAAAGGAAATGTACTTTATTTTGGTCCCGTATCTTTTAATTCTGTCCTCTAGTTTCCCCTTTGTTGCTAGACTTCTTGAAAGAGTAGTCTACGCTTGCATGTTTCTTTTCTTTTCTTTTCTTTTTTTTTAAAGATTTTATTTATTTATTTCAGAGAGAGAGAATGAGAGAGAGCACATGAGAGGGGGGAGGGTCAGAGGGAGAAGCAGACCCACCGCTGAGCAGGGAGCCCGATGCGGGACTCGATCCAGGGACTCCAGGATCATGACCTGAGCCGAAAGCAGTCGCTTAACCGACTGAGCCACCCAGGCGCCCGCATGTTTATTTTCTATGTACTTCTACATAGACTGCCACTTCACTTTTCTCTTGTCCTTTAATCCAAACTTGTTTTAACACCGATCTTTTAAAAAAATTATTAAATTCCTCCTTAAAAATTGAAAAAGTTGTATGTGTTTACCTCAATGATATAGTACAAATATATATAGGAGAGAGGTTCAAAATTGCCCCATCCTCTTTCCAGTTTATGTCCCACTTTCCTGAGATTACTTGAGGTTAAAGCCTCCTGTATATCCTTTCTCATGTTGTCCATGCTCATACAACATATGCAAATAGATCCATATACCTGAGATATACAGAAATTGGTTTTAGAGAAATGAGCACATGCCTTATACATTAGTTTGCAATTTGCTTTATTCATATGACAGTACATCATGAAAAATCCTCCAGTGTAGTAGCTGTAGATGTAGTTCATTATTGTTTTTGATGTAGTTCATTATTTTAAGCAGCTGTTGTAGTATTTCATAATACGCATGTACTATGATTTATTTAACCATTTATCTTTGGACACTCAGGTTGGTTCTAGACTCTCCTCTCCTCCCACCATAAACAGTGTTGTAATAAACATCCTTGTGTATATATCCTTATATACTGGTGCTCTTATTTCTAGGGAGAGATTCCTGAAACTAACATTGTTGAGTAAAAAGAGTGTATCTGTTCTTAATTTTAACAGATTTTGCCACTGTACTTTTTCAGAGAGCTGAAATGATTTATAGGTATTTCTGTAGTGCATGGGGCTGTTCATTTGTGCATTCTTACCAGTATTGTTTTGATACTGATTTAATTGCAAAGCCTACTATTTAAATTTTGCACAAAGATCTTAAGTTTTTTGTATTTCTCATGGTTGCCTCCCCCCCTCCCCTTTTTGGGTGGGAAATGCTCACATCTCAATTTATTTGACAACACTGCCTCCTAAGTCTTGTATTCTGCATTAGAGCCGATACTGTCACGGTCTCCTTTGTGTGCTTATGTTGGTATTTTATGGGATTCCTCCCCTGATCCATTTTCTTTTTTTCTCTTCCTTACTCACCTTCCCTTCCCTTCTTCTATTTGTTTTTCCTCTTTTTTCCTGCTCCGTGCTGTACTCTACTAGGTACTGGAGATGCACGGGTAGTTTCCCTGGAAGCTCTTATTCACGCCCTTGGCTTCTACTTTCTTTTTTATACTCATGACTCCTGAATCCTCATTTCCAATTCAGACTAATCTCCAGAGCTTTGAGCTTGGATGTCTTATAAGCAGCTCGTCTCTAATATGTCCCAAGCTAAATATTTAATCTCTTCTACAAAATCTGCTTCCCATTTGTTGCCCATTTTAGTTAATCCTGCCATCAACCTAGTCACCTAAGGCGCAAACCTGTCTGTCTTTTCATAATATTCTTGGATGATAAGATACATAAAATGTAAATGTCTGCTAACTGGAAGCTCGTTTTGGCACCTCACGTTTGACGTGTCTGACACCAAACCCCAACTCCAACCGGCCAACCTGTGGCTTTCAGCTTTCCTTGTTACTTCAGAGAATGACATCGTCATCTACCCAGTTCTGTGAGCCAGACATCCAAGAAACATGGTTGACACTTCTTATCATTCCTCCACATCCAATTTAGTGCTGAGTTCTGTGAATTTTACTTTCTGACTATCTCTAGAGTCTGTATTTTTTCATTTTTATCATCACCAGTTTCATTCAAATGTTGTTCTCTTTCATGTGAATTATTGGAATGATAATCCAGTCGGTTCCATCCCTTCTGCTCTGTTTTAAATCTGTGCTGTCCATTGCAGCCAGAGTGGTCTTTTCTGACATGGAATTCCAAGGATGTTGAACACACTCTTGAGCTTAAGACTTTGGATAACCTTTATCTCCGGATGAAGACCTAGATCCTTAGGTCTTGCCTCATCTTGAACTGCAGTCCCTTCTTTACTCCCTGTCTCCTGCCATATTCCGACTAGCTTGGCCGTTTAGTTTCTTGAAAATATCGTACTCTTTCCCAACATAGGATGTTTGCATGTGTTTTGTTTTCTTCATTGTACACTTTTTTCTCTCCTATTAGTTTGGTATTTTGTTTACCCCTTCTCTTGGTCTTCGTCTTCTGTAAGAAGATGATTTTCTTAACTTATTCAGATCCCCCATTATGTCATGGTATCTTTTCTCTCTAAGAGGACTTACTACAACTCTGTTTTTACATTTATATTCTGGATTATTGGATTAATGTTTGTCTCCCTTGCTAGTACGTAAGCTTCAGGAGGTGAGGACACAGCTGTGCTTCTTCTTAGAATTTGTATTCCTGGTGCCTAGCATGATGGCAAACACGTGATAAGTAGGTCATACACCCTGGAAGAAATAAGCAAATGAACAGTTCTGTAACATAAAAATCAGAATTATGTTTACAGTATCATGAGGATGACTTGCCCTGTGGAATTGCATCTGGATTTTATACTCAGGTTCATTAACTCAGTATTCTCATGTTTTTATGTATATTATCTCTAAGATGCAAATCGACTCTTTAAAGTTTTCCTGTTATTTAGTACAGGGAAGACCATTTGAAGTAAAAGAAATGTTTCTGGAAGACATCTTAAGAACTACTGGATACACAAACAAAGAAATGCTAAAATACAAAAAGGAAAAACAACGAGGTAAGCTTTTTATCAAATAATAAAGTACTATTGATACTGGGTTTTTAGAGTATTATACTGTGGAGGTACAAGGACACTTGAAAGTTTTTTCCTTTGTATATAATTGTATAATATTATATTAGAATTCTGTCCCAAGTGTACTTTTTACATTGTGGTTTATGCCCATAAATTATAATCTGTAGAGAGGAATTGAAAGTGGATGCCAGGGTTGAGGAGGAGTGTGTCCGTATCCAGAGATGCAACCAGTGTTGTAAGGAGGCAGAAGAGTATGTGCTGCTGCATATGTGATAGGCCACGTATGGTAAGAGTGAGGTATGCCACAGGAGAGCTCATGGGACGGGAGTGGGGAGTGGGCGGAAGGATTGAAAAGAGTAGCATGTGAGTGATAACAAGCTCATCTTTGATACAAATGTCAAGTCTTTAAATCTTGACCTTTTTTTTTTTTTTTTAGAGAGAGTGAGCCTGAGTGCAGGGGTAGGGGGTGCAGAGTGGTAGAAGGAGAGGGAGAGAGAGAATCCCAAGCAGTCTCCACGTTCATCACGGAGCCTGATGCGGGGCTCGATCTCGCGACCCTGAGATCATGACCTGAGCCCAAATCAGGAGTTGGATGCTTAACCAACCGAGCCACCCAGGCACCCCTCAAATCTTGATTTTGTTATGAGTTGCATCTGTACTTAGAATTTAGCATTATTTGCCCATTAATACGTCTCTTATCATGACTTACACTCTCTCTCACCTTTTGAGTTAGGGTGAGATTCTTTTTTGCTGACTTTTTTTTTTTTTTTAAGATTTTATTTATTTATATGAGAGAGAGAGAATGAGAGAGAGCACATGAGAGGGGTTAGGGTCAGAGGGAGAAGCAGACTCCCTGCCGAGCAGGGAGCCCGATGCGGGACTCGACCCTGTGACTCCAGGATCATGACCTGAGCCGAAGGCAGTCGCTTAACCAACTGAGCCACCCAGGCGCCCTCTTTTTTGCTGACTTTTAACTACATTATTCATGATAAAGATTTGGCTTCAAGCTTTGATTTCTTTGTTTAGTCTGTATGACCTTGGACCAGTATCTTAAGTTCTTTGGATTATCCACCTGAAGAAAAGCAACTAGCGGTGCCTATTTCACAGTGCAGTGCCGGAGCACTAGTATGCAGATCATCAAACTATATCTTTAAACTTTTGAAGGTGAAAATGGTGTATAATTTTTATCTCAAGCAACTGGCATGGTGGTAGAAGTTCAGTAAATGGTTTTCTACACAGTGCTGAGTGAATATTATTCAGTGACTTGAGCAATATTTAGTGTAGGGCTAAAATACTGTTCTTTGAATTTGGAGTTACTTAGAAGTAAACTTCTCACTAATAACACGAACTAGATGATGTTTTTAAGCAGTTTCATATGTCCTTAAGGTTCAGCATAACACATTTTACTAAATGTTTCTTGTTAATGTATTTTGAAAAAGTAACTTCAAAATTAGGCCAACTTTTAAGTATTTTCAAACTCACTTAATTTTTTTTTTTTTTTTAAAGATTTTATTTCTTTATTTGACACACAGAGAGAGCAGGAGAAGCAGACTCTCCACTGAGCAGGGAGCCTGATGCAGGGCTTGATCCCAGGATCCTGGGATCATGACCTGAGCTGAAGGCAGACGCCTAACGACTGAGCCACCCAGGCGCCCCCAAGTTCACTTAATTTTTTTAAACAAAGGAATAAATTCCCCCAAATAAAGCATTTATCTGCTTATTCTTTCTTTTGTTACTAATTTAGAAGAGAAACAGCAAACCACCCTTACAGAATGGTATTCCGCTCAAGAGAATACTTTCAAGTCTGAGTCTCAGAGGCAGAGAACTGTTCCCAATGTGACTGAAGAGTATGATTTATTGGATGACGGTGGTGATGCTGTCTTCAGCCAGTTGGTAAGACCTTGTTGGTTTCACACTGATATTTTGAGTAAAAATCGTACAGTTTAAAGAACATCTTATGAGATTATAATTGTTACTGCATTATTATAGTGTAATTCTCTTAGTTTATCTTAGGCTACAACCTATTTTTTCAGAACAACTTTCTAATGTACTTTTTTTTGGCAAATAATGCAGCGTCTTTTATTATTTTATTCTCAGTTTAAATTATTTCAATAAAATAAATTTTTGGAAGAAAATAGTTATAGATATTATACATATACATTATCAGTCTGATATTTTATCATCTCAAAAGTTTAAGAACCTGTGAGCTAAACAATGTAAGATAAGTTCAGTTAAGAGAAAATTGAGAAAAGACTGTTGATATTAGAGCACATAATCCACCAGCCAGCTGTGTGACTTTATAAAATCACTTACACACTGTAGACCTCAGTCTCTTCTCTGCTCCTTTTCTTTTTTCTATTTTGCTACAGAATCTTTTACAAATGAAATATTTCATAGAAGCCCAGCGTGCTCATCCTCAGTGTCCACCCCTATCCCTCAGTGGGGCCTCTGCTACCTTGGGTTTCATGGAATCTGTTTGAAAACTGGAACTAGCTGGTTTCCTAGGCGTCTTCTGGTCTTTCATTCTGGTTTAGAATTCTTTAAAAGGCATTGGTGATTAGTGTGATGCAAAATATTGCTGGGCTTGTATACTTCTTAGAAAATTTTTAACTGTTTTGAGCATGAGAAGGTACATATGCAGTCACCTAAGCAGATATGTTTTAAGTTCTAATGCATCCAAATGAACTATACATGTTTCTAAAAATGCTTTTGAAGAATGTTTAGAAGTTGTTAGGTAGTATGGGGAACATCCTTTTGGTTCAGTGAACAGCATTTTGACCATTAAATTAGTGTTTCTTAAGCCTGGCTGTGCATGATCATCACCTCCGGAACTTTTAAAGCCCTATAGAATCTGGCCTCCATCAGCAGAGGTTCTAACGAACTTGCTCTGGGGTCGAACCTGGCATCAGTGTTGAAAAACACAGGGGGTGGTCCCTCTGGTGTGCAGCTGGGAGGGAGAACCACTGGGATTCAGTGTATTTCGCAGTGTTCTGCCAGAAGCACATTTAGTTAATATTTTGACTGAGTCATCCTCCTTTGTTTACAAACTCATTCGCAGAGAAGAGATAAATGTAAGAACAAGATGCTGTAGTATAAGTGGAATGTTTGTGTTGAGATGAGAAACTTTTATGTCAAAGCCGACGATGTAATATATGGTTAGTAGTCCTTGTGGCCATTGTGGTCATCTCACATTCTTTGCATATAAAGGTTAAGCTGTTGGGTAATTTATAATCTTTCCTTTTTTTTTTTTTTTTAAAGACAGAAAAAGATGTGAATTGCCTTGAACCATGGTTAATAAAGGAAATGGATGCTTGTCTCTCTGACATATGGCTACATAAAGATGTTGATGCCTTTGCTCAGGTCTTTCACCTTATTTTAACTGAAAATGTTAGTGGTACGTGTAATTTCTTAAAACATATTTTTATTACTCTTATGGTTATTTTTGGTGGAAGTGTAGTTTAATTCAAAGTGTATGTACTACATTTTTGTTCATTACCGGTAATTTGTTCTTTTGGAGTACTTATTTCACATGGACAAATCAGGATCTTATCAGCGCAGTAGAACAAATAAATACTGTGTTAAATCAGGGATTCTTTTTTTTTTTTTTTTTAAGTAAGTTCTTCGCCCAACGTGGGGCTTGAACTCATGACCCCGAGATCGAGTCCCATGCTCTACCGACTGAGTCAGTCAGGTGCCCCTAAATCTTGTGATTCTTAATCTAGTTGTCTCCAGAAAGGTTATACGGGGTCTGTGAATATATGACAGTTATGTGCAAAAGTGTATTTATGTATATGTATTGTGCATATAAATATACTCCCTTCCCTCCCAAGGGAATATCTTGGATTTTTAAAGAAATTTGTGTTTTCAAAAAAGGAAGGAAGAGCAAGGTTAATAACTTTGCTCTAGATTTTGTATTTAGTAAATGGACGATTTCAGCATACCTTTAGTTATATGAGCTCAAGTACTGATTCACATGGATATGCTTTATGTCATGTGATGTGTTTTCACTAATGACCTATCCTGATTTTATTAGTTGATTATAGTGAATACTGGTAACCAGAGGTCAGTTTCAGAGCCCTGAAGGCTTCTAGGCAAAAGACAGAATGAAAAACCATAGAAGGTCAGTACTGAAAAGGATTTAGATGTCAAGTAATTTATCCCCTCACTTAAACTTCTCAGCATTATTATTATTGTTATAATTATTGATTATTCCTTTCTTGAAACACTTTCTTCAGTTAACCTCTCAGATTCCATGCTTGCTTTATTTTCTTCTTTCTCGTGTCCCTCGCTGGAACTTCTTGGTTTCTTCAGCAGAATTTTCCCCTTTTCCCTGACTTCTTTTTTTTTTTTTTAAAGATTTATTTACTTGAGAGAGAGAGAATGAGAGAGAGCACATGAGAGGGGGGAGGGTCAGAGGGAGAAACAGACAGGGAGCCCAATCCCTGACTTCTTAAATATGGAATGGCCCAGGCCTCAATCCTTTGGTGTTGCTTCTGTTTACACTTTACTTCTAATGTGGATCTCATCTAGTCATCGTTTTAAATATTTATTTAAAATGACTCTTAATTTTACTGTTTCAGTCCTGACCTCCCCCCTGACTTGAGTACACCTGATCACTTGATATCTCCCCTTGGGTGTCTATTAGGAGACTAAAACTAGGTACGCCCCAAACAACTTTTGGTTCCCTTCTCACTTCCTTCCTGACTTGCCTTTTCCTAAATGATCGTAATCAGTTGTAGACTTCTTTAAAAATTCATGTGCCTGGCCATCCCAGACGTTTTGAAACTGAATTTTCACCTAGTTGCTGAGGCAACAAAACATAAAGTAAGTCATTTTTTTAGAAAAGATTTTATTTATTTAATTTGAGAGAGAGCGCATGAGTGGGGGCAGGGAGGGGCGGTGGGGGAGAAGCAGACTCCCCACTGAGCAGGGAGCCCCATGTGGGACTCGATCCCAGGACCCTGGGATCATGACCTGAGCCGAAGCAGACGCTTAACCGACTGAGCCACCCAGGCGCCCCAATGTATTTTGGTTTCTCTTGCTCTATTTTTTTCAGCTTATTGGTTATTAAAAAACTATCTATTTCGAAAAGTAATTTTTTGTATTTGGAAATGTGGACATTTGTTCATCTCCAGTTTTCTGGCAGTCTTTTTTTTTTTCCTCCCACAGAAAAAAGCTTAGCAATCTTAACTGAAAGTTAGGAAAATTTGAACTCTGAAGCATGTTGCTTTAAAATATTTATGAAGCATTAATATATTATTCTTGACCTTCTTCCTAGATATTTCTTTAGTGTATACTTCGATATCATCATCCTATGGATCCAGGTTCCTCATCTTTTTTTTTCTTTTAAAGATTTTATTTTTAAGTAATTTCTATACCCAGCGTGGGGCTCGAACTCACAACCCTGAGATCAGGAGTCACATGCTCTACTGACTGAGCCACACAGGTGCCCCTGCGTCCCTCATCTTTATAAAAGTTTCACTAGATATTTTCTAGAATGCGGTATTCTAATGTCTTAAGCTATCTGAAGTAAACAAAAATGTTAATAGCTCTTTGAACAGTTATTGACTTCGCATCTTTTTATTTCCCTTCTAAAATCTCAACCCTTAATTGGCACCAGAGTTGAAAATACTTCATGTAATCCAGGAAACCTTCTGCTTCGTAGGTTTCTTTTTTTTTTTTTTTTTTAAGATTTTATTTATTTGACAGAGAGAGACACAGCGAGAGAGGGAACGCAAGCAGGGGGAGTGGGAGAGGGAGAAGCAGACTCCCTGCTGAGCAGGGAGCCCGATGTGGGACTCGATCCCAGGACCCTGGGATCATGACCTGAGCTGAAGGCAGACGCTTAACAACTGAGCCACCCAGGCGCCCCCATAGGTTTCTTTTTAATGCCATCAATTTCTCCATGGAATCCAGTGGAAGCAGCTAGTAATTAGTGAGACAGGCATTCTTTGTCATGCTTACTGTCCTAGTCATCTATTGCTGCATGACGAATGATTCCCAACCTTAGCAACCTAAAACATTTATTATCTCACATTGTTTCTGAGACTCAAGAATCTGTGAGTGGTTCTGGCTTCTAGTGACTGATAAAGTAGTAGTGAAGCTGTTGTCTGGGGCTTTGGTCATCTGAAGGTTCACTGAGAGCTGGAGGATCTGCTTCCAAGACGCTCACTCATGTGGCTATTGGTAAGAGGCCTCAGGTTGTCTCCTCTTTTGGCAGAAGGCCTCAGTTCTTGCCATTTAGACTTTCATAGGGCTGGCTGTCTTACTTGTCCCAGGATGTGGCAGCTGGCTTCTTTCTGAGTGAGTGAGGCAAAAGAGAAGGAGAAAAAGCAAGCAGGAAGCCGTAGGTACCTTTTAGAGTTAGTCACTTAGTCTAGTTCATACTCAAGAAGGGAATTTAGGCTCCACCTCTTGAAGGGAGGAGTACTAAAGAATTGTTGGATATTTTAAAACACCCACACTTAGTCATACCCTGCTGCTCAAAATATACACATTTTGGTTCTTTTCTCCAAGGCTATCAAATGAATATTCAGTTGAAGCAGTAATTCTCATACAGTGAGTACAGATCATAATCTTTTAGACCTTTTTAAAAATACATGTGTGGCCATCCCAGACCTACTGACTCTGAATCTTGGAGTCAGTCGTGGCTATCTGTGCTTTCAGAAATAAGCCTGAGGTAATTCTCTTGTAAGTCCTCCCCACTTTAAGAACCATTGACTTATATTAATAATGGTTACCAAGTTTTAGAGTATTATTAAACAATGAGGATAATTGGGTATCTATGGAAAATTAAAATTTCCTATTTGTAATTATCTTAAATTTTACTGCAGAGTTTTTTTTTTTCAGTGATAATTTCTTTTTGAAATCACCAATTTTGTAATTTAAGCCAGTTGGTGCTAAGCAGTTAATAATATATTGCATTTCTTGAGAAATATATTCTAGGAAGGAAATTAAATTCACTAGAACTTTAATTATTTTTCTCATGGAGGGCTTTTATGGGAAGTAAACTTTCTGCCAGTGTTATTTCCATTAAGCATCTCAAAGTAACAGTCTGGAATGATGGGGGAATCAAAGCAAAGCAAAAGAACAAAAACAGGTGGTCTTGAACTTTGCACTTTTAAGCATTCTTTTCTAGTTACTGATGAGCCTTAACTTTTAAATTCTTTAATTATATCTTGTCATTTGGTGATCAAGACAGTATCTAGGCTTAGGAAGTTTATTTAAGGGTTCTGCAAGTTACTAGCTTTCCTCTTCTGTTTTAATTATCGTGGTGAGCTTAAGACAGCTGAACAACTATCTCTCGTTCTCCTACCTTCCAAATGATAGTCCCTCTTCCATCCTGTTTATATTAAGAGCATATTTATAACAGATCTGAGTTAAGGGTTATGTAATACTGTTATCATGTGGCTGGATGAAGGAGCAAGTCCCAGGTTAATTCTCCTGACAGACAATTCTCTCATTTAAGTTAAAAAGAAATTAAAATGATTGAGAACAATTTGGAAATATAACCTGTATTTATCTTTTCCTTGCTTTAGTTGATTACAGGCATAGTGAAACCAGTGCAACAGCTCTGATGGTTGCTGCAGGACGAGGTTTTTCAAGTCAAGTAGAGCAGTTAATTAGTATGGGAGCCAACGTTCATAGTAAAGCATCAAATGGCTGGTAATTTTAAACTGCATCCATTCTTTGTATATCTTTGTATAGCTACATATACTGTTTTTGATTTCTGATGTTTGTCTTTATATTAAAAGCTATTGTGTAATAATTGCTGGTTCATCTCTAATGGGTGAATGAATAATTTGACTAGTTTTATAATTTTGAGAACATTATTTCTCTGTCTAAATCTGATCTCTTTGAATTTTGGCAGGATGGCTTTAGATTGGGCTAAACACTTTGGACAGACTGAAATTGTGGATCTTCTAGAATCTTACAGGTAAAACTTTATACTGTGTTTAATTAACCCTCACTTCTTTTTTCAAAGAAGTCCATGTAAATCATGGACTATGACAAGGTAGGCTATAGTCTCTTATGCAGAGATTTTCTTTTTTCTTTTTTTTGAATTCTAAGGAACTTTTTTGTCTGATTTTGTTTTTTGTTTTTGGTAGGGTATCAATAAGATCCAGTGTGCTATAATACTCTATTTCATTTTGAAAAACAGAAGGGGGATTTTCAGTTAAACATGGTAGATACACCACAGGTAATTTATCTTTGCATTTTCCCAAAACCTCATTGAAATGGTAAGGAAGGAATATAAAGTGTGCAAGCTAACAAAGTCAGAGAGATTGAAAGAGGACATAGCAACTGATGGAAGATACAAGTAAATTTTGGGGTAATTGACTTAGCAGAGCTGAGAAAACTGAAAGCTCAGTGCCTGCAGAGGGAAGTGCCAGTGAGAAACAAACTCATTTTAGCTTCTTAGAGGGGCATTTAACTACATCTGAATGACAGTGAAAGAGAGGACCAAAACCAAAAAAAACCCCCCCAAAAACCCACCCAGACTTGATTGAAATTCTCTATGAGGAACATTTAGAATTCCCGATTCCCACCTCCCCTGCCATTAGATGAGATCTCCCTTCCCCACCTCGGCAGGAAGTGGGAAGTTTATTAAAAAATTAAGCCACGGAAGCTTTGGACTTGGGGCTCCCAGGCGCAATGGGAGAGTGGGAGTGAGGTATCAAATAGAAAAGTCTCCTGACAGACTGAAGGTTGAGATATCATTCAGCCCATTCTGCTGCTGTCCCTGTCACTGTTTCCTGTTTGAAGCTTATGTTCTTCAGCAGAAAATGTGAGAATTCTTTCCTGGGAAAATAGACCAAGCCTGTGGAAAAGAATTAGAAATATGGAAAGTTTGGTATTCCTTCAGTGAAATTACCATATTTAAGCCAGATGTGCACATGGAGGTTTTTTGTGCCTTCTCTTTGAAGATGAACAAACTAAGGATTGATCACCAGGCATCTTTGAGGGGGAAAAGCACCCACAAGCAAACAACAATAGCCACAAAAAACCCTGGAACTTGGATGGACTAAGCATCAGTGACCAGAAGAAAACTTCGAAAACTAATAGAAAATATTCATAAGACAGAAACAATGTGTTATAAAACAGGAACAGAACACAAATCTTTATTCAGATTTTATCTTCATGAGGGCTACCTAAATTTATCCTGTTGTTGTAGTCTACCTCCTTGTGCTATTCATCCTTCTTAACCTGTTCTACTTTTTCTTTTGTCTGTAGGACCTGCCACCCTCTGATACACTTTTTTTCTTTTTTAAAATTTAAATTCAGTTAATTAATATATAGTGTATTAGTTTCGGAGGTAGAGTTCAGTGATTCATCAGTCTTTTTTTCTGTTTTTTAAATTTTTTTCAGAACTTACTCATTTTTCTTTTTTAGCTTTTTAAAAAAATTTAAATTCAATTAATTAACATATAATGTTTTATTAGTTTCAGAGGTAGAGTTTGGTGATTCATCAGTCGTATATAATACCCAGTGCTTATTATATTCTGTGCCCTCCTTACTGCCCATCACCCAGTTGCTCCATCCTCCCACTTCTCCCCTTTAGTAACCCTCAGTTTGTTTCCTATGATTAAGAGTCTCTTATGGTTTGTCTGCCTCTCTGATTATGTCTTGTTTTATTTTTTCCTCTCTTCCCCTATGATCCTCTGTTTTGTTTTTTTAAATTCCACATGAGTGAGATCATATAATTGTCTTTTTCTGATTGACTTATTTTGCTTAGCATAATATCCTTCAGTTCCATCCATGTTGATGCAAATGGCAAGATTTCATTCTCTTTGATGACTGAGTAATATTCCATTGCATATATGAACTGCATCTTCTTTATCCATTCATCTGTTGAAGGACATCGCAGCTCTTTCTACAGTTTGGCTGTCATGGACATTGCTGCTCTGACCATTGGGGTGCAGGTGCCCCTTTGGATCACTCTATTTGTATCTTTGGGGTAAATAGTTAATAGTGCAATTTCTGGCCACCCTCTGATAAATTATGTACTTACTGTATTCATGACTTTAGTAAGCTCCTTGTCTCTTTTGTTCAGGGACAGAGCCCAGATATAGTAGATGTTCAGTGAATATTTGTTGAGAGACTGAATAAATAAGAAAAAACTCTTACAAATTAAAGAGATGATAGAAAAAAATTCAGAAGGGTGTCAAGATAAAGTTGAGAAAATTGGCTCACAAAGCAGGAAAAAAGGACAAGAGATGGAAAATTGTGGAAAAAAGATAAGACAATTTATTTCCTATATATCCTTTACCAGGAAGGTTTAGAGAATGTGCTCCACAAAAATGAAGAAGTAAAATAAAACAGGAAAACATAGCGACCAAGCACAGGAGGTAGTGAAAGAAATGCTCATTGTGCCGGTGAGGAGCAGTGTTACTGTGAGAGCTGCCCGCTAGCCACTAGGCTGAGTCTCCTAGGAGAGCTCCTGAGCAGGAGCGGGGGTGGGGGTGGTGGCGGAAGAGGAGGGAAGGAGGGGAGATCACCTGATGTTCCTGACCGTAGTAAAAAGGCTTTAGGGGCACCTGGGTGGCTCAGTCGTTAAGCGGCTGCCTTCAGCTCAGGTCATAATCCCAGGGTCCTGGGATCGAGCCCCTCATCAGGCTCCCTGCTCTGAGGGAAGCCTGCTTCTCCCTCTCCCACTCCCCTGCTTGTGTTCCCTCTCTTGCTGGCTCTCTCTGTCAAATAAATAAAAGCTTTAAAAAAAAAAGGCTTTAGGAATCTTGTTAGAGACTTTGGGAAGAATTAGTGGTAAGTACACAGAAAACTAAGCAAATAAAAATTAGACATTAATTACTTGAGGAAAACCCAAAAGAAGAACAGAAGAAAGGAGGTGTAATCATAGTTTGCTGTTGGGCTCTGGCTCAGTGGTAAGTAATGTTTGTGTAGTGATAGTAAAGGCCGAATGAAGATGTAATGAAAATTGTAAGGACCTATGTGGGTGGAAAGTGGACGGGAGCGGAGGTGGTGACCTAAGTTTTCATGAGAGATTCACAGATAATGATGAAGTTGTTAAATCAGTAAATAGCGAAAGGTGCATGTTGCTTGGAAATATGGCCGCAAATACCAAAAGAAATGGCTAAAAGAATTGAAAAAGGTCCTAGACAACGTGTCTGTGTACAAAGAGGGTTTTTTGTTGTAAATTCTACAAAATCGTTTGTTTATTAACACTACATATATGTATTACTTTGATTTATTTATTTATTTAAAGATTTTTATTTATTTGACAGAGAGAGACACAGCGAGAGAGGGAACACAAGAGGGGGGTAGTGGGAGAGGGAGAAGCAGGCTTCCTGCCGAGCAGGGAGCCCGATGTGGGGTTCGATCCCAGGACCCTGGGATCATGACCTGAGCTGAAGGCAGATGCTTAACTGACTGAGCCACCCAGGTACCCCTGTATTACTTTGATTTTAAAGAAAAGAATCAGACAGTGCTTTGAAAATCCTATGAAGCAAATCCTTCATTTAGGTAATTAAAGGTTTTAGCTAAAGTTAGGTTAGATAGTTAGATAGATTATGTAGATTTTAGATTAGCTATCTAAAGAAAAGAAAAAGATAATTTTAAAGGAAAAGATATCTAAAGAAAACATGTTTTATAATACATTGATAGCATTTGTTTTCAACCTATAAGAAAAAAGAAAAAAATGAATCTGAGGTTAAAATGTATTAAAGTATCTTTTATAGAAGAACATAAAAATGTTTTATTTGAGTTGGGTTTTTGTATTTTATTCTATAGATACAGTCTCAGATGAAGTGAATGTTTGAAGTATGAGATTAGTCTTGTCATTTTAATTTCATTAAATGATAATGAAGGTTAGAGTCACAAAGTTCTTAGCAGACCCAAATACTAATTATGGTATGGCAGGTTTTGTTGTCATTTCAATAATCTCACCCAGAACTTGCCGTCCTTTTAGTGCTAATGCTTTGAATGTTCCAGACATTCTTAGGGTGCTGGAAATAGCTCAGTAGACACTGCAGATTACCAACTAGTGGTTATCTGGATAGTATTCTAATTATCCTACCTAACTGGGCTTTCTTTTTATTCTACAGATCATGACGTTATCAATTACAAATTTCAAATATTTAAAATTAAATTTATGATGTTTGCCAGATTACTGATAATTGATATATAAGGTTAGAGCTTTATTTTTTTTTAAAGATTTTTTTGAGAGAGAGCAGAGGGAGCAAGCACATGAGTTGTGGGGGGCAGAAGGGGAAGGAGAAGCAGGCGTCCTGCTGAGCAAGGAGCCCAGTGTGGGGCTTGATCCCAGGACCATGGGATCATGACCTGAGCCTCGAAGGCAGACACTTAACCAGCTGCGCCACCCAGGCACCCCTAAAGTTAGAGCTTTAAACAAAGGACATAATACCCTCTTCATTTATTATTTATTTTATTTTATTTTATTTTATTTTTTTAAAAGATTTTATTTATTTATTTGAGAGAGAGAATGAGATAGAGAGAGCATGAGAGGGGGGAGGGTCAGAGGGAGAAGCAGAGTCCCTGCTGAGCAGGGAGCCCGATGCGGGACTCGATCCTGGGACTCCAGGATCATGACCTGAGCTGAAGGCAGTCGCTTAACCAACTGAGCCACCCAGGCGCCCAATACCCTCTTCATTTACCTGTTAAGAAGTAAGAAAGCAAAAAAATTGGAATGTTTTAAAATTAATCTTAAAATTTAAAATAATGCAGTTATAATTTTAATATTTTCCCTACTAAAAGCAGGCTTAGTTACTTTTCTGCTAAGCTCTTTAGGAGAAATTGGGCTGAATTGAACTTCCTAGAAATCTTATTGATGGTTACTAGGGATGGCAGAAGGTTATATTTTTACATATGGGATGAAGAAGCAAGCTATTATTTCAGTAATTTATGCTGATTTTGGGCTTTTAGAAAATAGCAAATCAATCTGCTTTTAACCAACTGAGCCATCCAGGCGTCCCAAATCAATCTGCTTTTAGTATGGAGTAACCAAATAGCAGTCATGTTAAGTTGGTACCGCAGAATTGTTTTGTTTTGTTTTAAATGTGGACTTTGCTTCAGAGTTTTGTTTATAAGAGTGAATAATTAGAAACAATCTATTAAGAAACTACAAATGAGGGCACCTGGAGTCCCAGGATCGAGTCCTGCATCAGGCTCCCTGCTCAGCAGGGAGTCTGCTTCTCCCTCTGACCCTCCCCCCTCTCATGCTCTCTCTATCTCATTCTCTCTCTCAAATAAATAAAATCTTAAAAAAAAAAAAAATACAAATGAGGCATGTAATGTAATGAGCACTGGATATTATAGAAGACTGATGAATCATAGACCTGTACCCCTGAAACCAGTAATATGCTATATGTTAATTAATTGAATTTAAATGAAAAGAAAAAAAATAGAAATGATCAAAGGTTTGTGTGTTTTAAGTTTTATTGAGGTAAGGTTCACAACCATGTAATTCACCCATTTAAGTGTACAATTCAGTGGCTTTTAGTATGTCTGCCATGTTATGCAGTTTTTTAAAAAGATTTTATTTATTTATTTATATATTTATTTATTTAGAGGGCAAGCAGGGGGAGGGACAGGAGAGGGAGAGAGAGAATCTTGAGCAGACTCTGCACTGAGTGCAGAGCCTGACACAGGGATTGATCTCAACGACCTTGAGATCGTGACCTGAGCCAAAACCAAGAGTGGGAGGCTTAACCGACTGAGCCACCCAGGTGCCCCATGTTATGCAGTTATTATGACAATCAATTTTGAGAACATTTTCATTACCACCCCCCAGAAAATCCTGTAATCATTAGCAAGCACTCCTCATCTTCCCCAACTCTTCCAGCCCTAGGCAACTAGTCTACTTTCTGTTTCTATAGATTTGTCTATTCCATACACTTAATCTAAGTGCAATGATACAGTACATGGTCTTTTTGTGATTGGCTTCTGTCACTTCGTATAATGTTTTCAAGGTTCATCCATTCATGTTGTAACATCCTTTTTCTGACTGAGTAATACTCTATTCTATGGGTAGATCACAGTTTGTTTAATATTCTTCAATTGATGAACATTTGGGTGGTTTCTACTTTCTGGCAGGTATGAATAATACTGGTATGAACATTTGTGTACACCAGTTTATGTGGACATATATTTTCATTTCTCTTGTTTATATACCCAAGAGTGGAGTTGCTGGGGCATCAGGTAATATTGTGTTTAACATTTTGAGGAACTGCTGCCACATTGTTTTTCAAAGTGGCTTTACCATTTTATGTTCTCACTAACAACGTATTGACGATGGTTACAATTTCTCCACACCCTCTTTAACACTTACTATCCTCTCTCTTTTGATTATAGTCATCCTAATGGGTATGAAGTTGTATCTCATTGTGGTTTTGATTTTCATTTCTCTGATGAGTAATGATGTTGAACATGTTTTCAGTGTGTTTATTGGCCATTTGTATATTTTCTTTAGAGAAATATCTTCAGATTGTGTTTTCAAGAAGTACTTATTGACAGATTTTACTTTGGATAATGTAATGTAAGCCAAAACATGAATTGTAGCTAGAACATTAAGTATCACTTACCTCCTTAGGGTATATTCAAAATTTGAAGAAGGACATCCTGGGAATCATTGGCCTTAAAGGAGTACTCTTTTAGATGAAAATTGAGTTGGTCATTTTTTTTTCTTTTTTTTAAGTGCTTCACTGGAATTTGGAAATCTAGATGAAAGTTCTCTGGTTCACACAAATGGAAGTGACCTCAGTGCAGAAGACAGAGAGCTCCTGAAAGCTTATCATCACAGTTTTGATGATGAAAAAGTAGACTTGGATTTGATCATGCACCTTCTATACAATATCTGCCATGGTTGTGATGCTGGTAAATAAGTACTGTCTAAAATAACTGGAACACCAGTGTATACTTTGATTTCAACATTAATATTTTGCACGTACAGATTTCTACAGAATTCCAGTGGCAATATTGCATAAATAATCTCAAGTGTCATAAGTGTTACAGTTTATCAGTATTTGAAAACTCGTGATATAGCTCATTATAGCTGGGCCTGTTGATTGGTTCTAGTTTGTAAAACCAGAGATTTAATATTTAAAAAAAAAATCCTTCTTCTCCAAGGTGCAATATTAATTTTCCTACCTGGATATGATGAAATTGTTGGACTGAGGGATCGCATCCTGTTTGATGACAAGCGGTTTGCTGACAACACACATAGGTAAAAGCTAAAGCTTTATATTTGTTGCTTTAAGTAACAGATAGGTACCATAGTGTATTTTTCCTTTCTACTGTCAACAGATACCAAGTCTTTATGCTTCATTCAAATATGCAAACATCTGATCAAAAGAAAGTATTAAAAAACCCACCTGCCGGTGTTCGAAAAATAGTAAGCTTCATAAAATTTTCTTTTGTCCATTTCATTAGTCATTGGTCCTGTGTTCCTATTAACCGTAAGGTAACATCCCCTTGCAGATCCTTTCCACCAATATTGCTGAAACCAGCATCACAGTCAACGATGTTGTCTTTGTTATTGATTCTGGTAAGGTGAAAGAGGTATGTATGGATAAGTTGTATTTTGTTTAAATGAAGAAGGTTAAGTTACTTTCCAATAAATGCTTTTATAATTCACTTTAATGGGAAGATTTCTGGTTCTGCATGAATTTAACATAGTAATCGTTGATTTCTCTAAAGTAAATATTTTACCTTAAGCAGTTCAGAATGTAGGATCTAGTTATTGTAACAGATTATACAAAAAAACTAGCTCCTGCTGATTAAATACTAGGAAGAAAGTAAAGGGTTGGCTAGTTACACTGAAAATTTGTCACAGTGTGAGAATTGGATTACATATTTTGTATGCTTTCCTTCTTTCCTTCTGCATGTGGGCATGCACCATGTCCCTCTTGTTCAGTGTTAATCTATAGGGCTCCACATGTATAGTAGGTATTCAAAAGATACTTCCTTCAAGAGAACCATCCTGAGCCAGTGTGAGCTGGAGTCAGAACCGGAGTTCAGCAAATGCCAGTTAGCAGCCGCATGGGCCCAGTGCCTGCTTTTATAAAAATAAATTTCACCGGAACACTGTCCTGTTCACTCTTTTACCTATTGTCTGTGGTTGCTTTCACACTGCAACTGGCATAGTTGCAACAGGGACGTTCCACAAAGGCTAAAATATTTACGCCAAGCCTGATAAAAAGAAAAGACAGCATTTATTTTCTTTTAGCATTGGAATGCTCAGCAGTTCTCAATACCCTTCACTTTGGCGGATCCTTTCACTGAAAGAATGGAAGGTGATAGAGGTGGTTGCTTTTCTTTTCTTTTCTTTTTTTTTTTTTTTTTAAAGATTTTATTTATTTATTTGAGACAGAGAGAATGAGAGACAGAGAGCATGAGAGGGAGGAGGGTCAGAGGGAGAAGCAGACTCCCCGCCGAGCAGGGAGCCCGATGCGGGACTCGATCCCGGGACTCCAGGATCATGACCTGAGCCGAAGGCAGTCGCTTAACCAACTGAGCCACCCAGGCGCCCAGAGGTGGTTGCTTTTCAAGGAAAGATACTATCTCTGTTGTGGAAAGCAAATGATGTCTGTTCTGGTGGATAGAAATGATCGTGTTTTAATGTGGGAAACATTTGTTAATTGCTTCATAATGTTTTCAGTGCAATTTTTAGGAATATCTTGTAGAAAATAAAATTTTATAAAATGTAGACATTTCAGTATAGTTGTATACTATAAAGAAGGGATACATTTTATTTTTTGTAAGAGGATAATGATGAATATATACCTTTTATAAGAGGATAATGATAGGATTATCACTAAAAGTCTGGGTGAGTCAGTGAAAATTCAGATTTTATTGCCCTGAAATTATGTAAAGCTGATGAAGTGGATTTTGAATATTTTAGAAATTAATTTCTGTGGGTGCCATTTATCAGGTAAACCCCAGTTTAGAACATGATGGTAGTGTCAGAAGTTATTTTACATACAAAACTGATAAATGTGACATCTTATTAAAAACTACGTATCATCTTTTCTAAAAATCCCATAATTAAACTATTATGAGAACACATTTGTATTTGCTCTATATAACTGTTTTATGAAAGGGAAAGTGTAAGTCACTGAATGATTAAGTATATATTCTAGTTAGGAATGCCTTCTTTTAAAATCGTTCTCTACAGTAAATTTTGGCTTTAGATTGTTTAGGGAATATAAGGGTAATAATGGTTCTTTTTTACTTTCTCTTTTGTAACATTCTGGATAGGCTAACTGCCTTACTAGCTCAGTAGGGGGTAAAATGGAAAGGATTAAAAATTCTTCACTTTGGGGATAAGATTGGTTCAGCGATTATTGTTATTCTCATTCCTCCAGATCAGTTCCCTGGCACATATTTTAGAAACTGTCCTTCTCTGATCACTCCTATTCCTCGTGGTGATAGAAATCTGATAGGAAATGACCTCAAGAGAGTAGATAGTTTTTCCTCAGTCGTGATATCTATGAGTACTGCCTGCTATTATCCAACTGTAGCAGAGAGAAACAAATAAGTAAGCAAGGCATGGAATGAGGAAGTTCTTACAGCTCTTCTGAGTTTATTTTTCATTCTTTTTCCTTAGAATGTTTGTAACCAGAGATCTGGATTTTTTTTTTTTTTAATCTGTGCCCCATCCTAATTATCTAATCAAGAAGGGCCTTGAATTAAACTTGGCATGTTAAAATATATTCATAATATTTCTTGCTATTTCTTTCTAAGCACCTTTTATAAAAGTTTTAATATGAAGATAACTTAAATATTACAGAAATCCTTTGATGCACTGAATTTTGTTACAATGTTAAAAATGGTGTGGATTTCCAAAGCTAGTGCCATACAACGAAAAGGCAGGTAATGTATATTTAATATACATTTATTCACTCAGTTGCCTGTAAAATGGAAACATTTTGATATGTAGTACATATTTAATGTATATTCCGCTTTCTATATAAAATGTTAAAATTTTCATGTTAGTCTTAATTCTTATATTGTTTTTGCAAAGCAAGCCATTTTAATACTTTCTTTAAAAGTTGAATTCAGGTTATGTTAAAAATTTTTGACTAGTATAATCTGTCCTCAGAAGATGTAAGAAAGTTAAAAAACAAAATTAAAAGGAAAATATTTTAAACATTTGCAATACAGGATAAAGGGCTAATTTCTGTATTATGCAAAAAACTCTTTAAAATCAGTTCATAAAGACCAACACATTAAGCTCACATACACCACCTCATATATGCCAGAATAAGTGCAAATTAATGAGGAAATTTTTTTGCTTATCACCAGAATGGCATTGATGAAAATGTTTAACAGTACTTACAGCAGAGTTGGCAAAAGCGTGGGCCAGTAAGCTTTCATAGTTTACTGATGAGTGTAAATTGCTGTGACTTCTTCAGAGGACAGTTTGAAACTGTTTATCCAAATCTGCCCTTTGCTGGTGGATTCCATTTCTCATCATTTATCCTGAGTGTACCTGAGCATGTGTGCAGACATGTATTGAAGAATGTTTTCCGCAGCACTGTTTGTAATAGTGAAAACTCTGGAAGTACTGTAGTTAAATAAATTATGCTATAGCCATACAGTGGTATACTAGATAACTGTTACAGGGAAAGATGTGGATATATGTATTGTTATGGAATGAGTTCTCAGAATATATTATTAATTGAAAAAAGTAAGGTGTAGAACATGCATCTATAGTATTTGTGCTAAGTATATATATATATATGTTAGTGCTAAATAAATATATATAATGCTAAATATATACATAGTGCTAAATATATATGTTTTATATATATATATGTTTGTATGTATATATTTAGGGCAGAAATGCATTGTCAGATTTGAGAGAAACATTAAAAAACAATTGTTGACTCTGAGAAGGAGGATTTGTGGGGCTCTTTGAAGGAAGGAGATTTAATTTTCATTTTACTTTTTTGTAGTTTGGTTATTTATTTTAGAATGTGCTTGCATTACCTTTTTTAAAAAAGGGAAGATGAAAAAGTAGCCTATTTTTCAGTAATTATTTGACTAATTTTTCTTGCATTTTAACTAACAGGGAAACATCAAGTATTGACTCTAAAGCAGTGCCTCATATGCTGAAGATGGTGGATGCATTATTTCTGTACTTTATAATGTCATAGAACATTCTTTTTTTTTTTTTTAAAGATTTTATTTATTTATTTGAGAGAGAGAATGAGAGAGAGCATGAGAGGGAGGAGGGTCAGAGGGAGAAGCAGACTCCCTGCTGAGCAGGGAGCCCGATGTGGGACTCGATCCCGGGACTCCAGGATCATGACCTGAGCCGAAGGCAGTCGCTTAACCAACTGAGCCACCCAGGCGCCCTGTCATAGAACATTCTTGAGGGCTTGTTGCTGTTACCGTGCCTGTTGTTTTCTTATGACAGGGTGTGGCTTGATACACTAGCTAGATTTATAGGCAGTTAATCGTATATTATCTAGGAGGAAAATCAGAAATTGTAGGAATTTTCCTTGTCATCTTTTTCAACATATTTTTTGACAGCCATCACTGTGCAAGTGTTAGGGATGCGATGATGAATAAACTGTAGTCTGATGAGTAAAGTTTGAGGTGGGGGGAATGGTGCAGTCCATCTTGGAATCCAGTAAAGTAAGCAATTTTAATGCCATGTGATTTGTGCTATGACTGGATAATGCTTTTAGAGGAGTTAAGGTAGAATCTGAGATAAATACGAATAAAGAGCTGTTGTGGAAAGGCTTTTCTAGCAGAGGCAAGGCATACACAAAGGCCTACAGGCAAGAGTGAGCAACACAGTTGTTTGGATGGAGTTTAGTTTAGAGAATAGTGAAAAATGAGCAGAAAGAGGTAAGTTGTGGACATGTCCTAAAGGATCATTTGAGTTTCCGCTCTTTTTCTTCTTTTTAAAAAATATTTTATTTATTTATTTGATAGAAACACAGCAAGAGAGGGAACACGAGCAGGGGGAGTGGGAGAGGGAGAAGCAGGCTTCCCGCGGAGCAGGGAGCCCGATGCGGGGCTCGATCCCAGGACCCTGAGACCATGACCTGAGCCGAAGGCAGACGCTTAACGACTGAGCCACCCAGGCGCCCCTCTCTCTTTTTCTTCTTAATGAACTAAAGGATGGCATGATTTTAGTATTGTTTCACCTCTTTGAAGAATGAATTGGTAGAGACAAAACTGATGGCAGGAGGACCCGGTAGGAGGCTTTCATTAATACTTGCATTTACAGTAAGGGAGAGATGACAATAGTCTGGATTGTGATAGCGGCGGTAGAAGATATTAAGGAGAGCAGTATTGGTGATCGTATGTCCAGGGGTAAGGAATAGTGTGGAATCAAGGATGTCATACAGGTGTCTGTCTTAGAAACTTTTGTGGATGGTGGTGCCATTGTCAGGGAAAATGAGAACAGTGGTTATGTTGCTGAGAAGAATTAGCTTTTGGTTGTGTTGAGTTTGGGTTGGCTGGAAAATCCAAGTGGAGCTAAGAGGCTTCTGAAGTATAGGTGTAGGGTTAGGATGAAGTGATCTCAGTGGATGGAAATTGAAGTTAGGAGGATAATTACGATCCCCTTGGGAGAGAGGATGGAATAGGAGAGCAGAGGGCTGAGGTCCAACCTCACAGGAACATCAACATTTAAGGACTGGCGAAGGATGGAAATGTCTCAGAGGAGGCTGGATAGGAGGGAAAGCGCATGGGTTGATGGTGAGGACAGTACTGATGAAGGAAGCAGTGGTCTAGCATCTCATTTTGTAACTTGTATCACAGTGTGTTGTAGCTTTGTGAGGGTAAGATATTTCTGGATCTCCATCACTTAGCATAGTCAGCCTGGCCATTCTTTAGCTGATATGGTGACTCTGGGGGAAATGACGAGAGGCAGCTTTTCTTCAAGATATTTTTCTCCTACCTCCCAGAAAATGATACAAGTCTCTCTGGTGACAGGAAACGCCACTCCCTTGGAGTTGTGTGATGCTTACTTTGCACAGCTCTGAGCAGTGGGCCTGAGCACGGTGCTTGTGTCAGTTGAGTAAAGCTGATGCAATGTAAATCCCCATGTATTTTTTCTCACTTTCATACATATGACACTTACAAATTTGTTTTTGTTGTTACCCTAGTAGGTGTGTCAGGTAGGTGTCATTCATGAGTTTTTATGAATGAGTCCCAGATGAATGAAGTGCCTTCTGGAAAGATTCAGAGGGGAGAAACATCACAGGAGGGAATCACACTCAGATGTCCTGACACCGGTCCATTGCTCTGTCTCCTAAAGTGCACTGCTTTTAGAGTTGCCTTGGTCTAGTCTTTATTCCTTGTCTGAATCTTAATTTTTTATTTCACTTTTAAGGGCAGGGAGATGCAGACCTGGAATTTGTTTCCGGCTGTTCAGTAGACTCCGATTCCAGAATATGTTGGAATTTCAGACTCCAGAACTTTTGAGAATGCCATTACAGGTAGAAACTTACTAAACTCTAAAAGGCTATTTTTATGAGTGAGGGAGGAGAGGGACCATTTCAACTTAATACCAGTAGGACTTTTAAATGATCAATTCCTTTTTTAAAAGATTTTATTTATTTATTTGACAGAGAGATAGAGAGAGAGCACAAGTAGGCAGAGCAGCAGACAGGGAGAGGGAGAAGCAGGCTCCCCGCTGAGCAGGGAGCCCGACGTGGGGCTCGATCCCAGGACCCTGGGATCATGACCCGAGCTGAAGGCAGCTGCTTAACTGACTGAGCCACCCAGGCACCCCTAAATGATCAATTCCTAAAACAAAATTATAAAATGTATATGATGGGAGGTGGTTATGTATCTAATTTTTTTTCTAGACAAGAAAATTTGATCCATAAACCTCTAAAATTTTAAAGAATTACTTGAGTGCATTTAAATTATGGTACAGTTTATAGATATATATATTTTTTTAATGCAACATTTTAGAAATCTGACAACCACATAGTGTTCATCTTTCACATTCTCATTGAGGATTAGAAAAGAAATTATTTAAGGTCCAGAAGATAATACCGAAATCTCAGTTTAAGAGGTTGAGATTAATCTTGGTAGTTTGGAACTGAGTCCACTGAGATTTCCTGGCCTTTATTGTTTTGCTTTAGGTTTTCTGACTTCATGGAATAGCCAGACATTGTAGTTTTGAGGGAAAACTACTGGAAATACATTAACTTGATTCTCTGGTGTGCTGAGCCAGATGCTAGCTTCCAAACTTTTTTTTTGTTTTTGATTTATTTATTTATTTATTTATTTATTTTTTATTCTTATGTTAATCCCCATACATTACATCATTAGTTTTAGATGAAGTGTTCCATGAGCTTCCAAACTTTTAAAGATTTTATTTCTTCATTTGAGAGAGAGGGCATGAGCAGGGGGAGGGGCAAAGGGAGAGGGAGAAGCAGACTCCCCACTGAGCAGGGAGCCCAATGTGAGGCTGGATCCCAGGACCCCAGAATCATGACCTGAGCTGAAGGCAGATGTTGAACCGACTGAGCCACCCAGGCTCCCCTCCCATGATTTCTTTGAAAGTCAAAATCAACATAAATTTCAACATTTCAAAATTATTTGCTGTTCTTATTTATAGGAACTTTGTTTACATACTAAGCTGTTAGCCCCAGTGAATTGTCCTATTGCTGATTTCCTAATGAAAGCTCCAGAACCACCACCAGCTCTAATTGTAAGAAATGCTGTACAAATGCTTAAGGTAGGTGTCTTCATAGTTTTATTTTACCCATTTTACTTGAAATTTAAACAGTGAGGATACATCTTAACTAATTTTGTACTTAAAAATATTATCTTAAATAATCTTGTACTTTGAATAATACTCTCATAGCAATTATAGTAAAACAGTAGATATAGTTCTTTTTTATATAAAGCAAAATATGTGTTTTTTTTTTTTTTAAGATTTATTTATTTGACAGAGGGAGACCGCGAGAGAGGGAACACAAGCAGGGAAAGTGGGAGAGGGAGAAGCAGGCTTCCTGCTGAGCAGGGAGCCCGACGTGGGGCTCGATCCCAGGGCCCTGGGACCATGACCTGAGCCGAAGGCAGACGCTTAACGACTGAGCCACTTAGGCGCCCTGCAAAATATGTTTTTTATAAGATGTGGCAAGAGAAAATTTACATTTTCATTTCTTGATGATTTTTAGGTATGTGATTTGATTAAACATAGTTTTTTGGTAGTGTCAAGTTCTGTTTTGTGTTCTTTTATTTAGACAATAGATGCAATGGATGCATGGGAGGATCTCACTGAGCTGGGCTATCACTTGGCTGACCTGCCCGTGGAGCCACATCTTGGTAAAATGGTCCTGTGCGCTGTCGTCTTAAAGTGTCTGGACCCCATCCTCACAATTGCCTGCACGCTAGCCTCTCGAGACCCCTTTGTCCTGCCGGCCCAGGCCTCTCAAAGACGGGCGGCCATGCTTTGTAGGAAACGCTTCACTGCGGGAACTTGCAGTGACCACATGGCCCTTCTCAGAGCGTTCCAGGTACCGATTATTCTTGCCATTTTGTTTCTGAACTTGTTGCTGCTTTTAAACATGTGTCTGGGGCAAGTGTCACAATTAAAAAAGATATGATCCCATGAATTTTGTCTCATTATAAAGTCACATTTTATTACCAGCTTAGAAAAATACCTTCCTACTGTTAATATGTTGGAATGATCACTGTTTGTCTCTCCTTTTTTTTCTTCCATTTTTTCAGTTTTCTCCGTGTAGGAATATGTGTATACATATATTGATGTTTATTTACTTGTGTTCATTTTCTGATACCCAAGTTCCTTATCTTTTAATCATATCTTGGGCAGGGAGTGCTGTAAAATTTCAGTTAAGAAGCAATGTATATTATTCAAAGTATGTAGAACAAACCTTGGAAGAAAATTATCTTAAATTTAGTATCTATTTATTGATTTTTTAATTTTTAATTTTTAAAATTATTTTATTATTTTTTTAAAGATTTTATTTATTTATTTGACAGAGAGAGACACAGCGAGAGAGGGAACACAAGCAGGGGGAGTGGGAGAGGGAGAAGCAGGCTTTCCACCGAGCAGGGAGCCTGATGTGGGGCTTGATCCCAGGACCCTGAGATCATGACCTGAGCCAAAGACAGACACTTAATGACTGAGCCACCCAAGGCGCCCCTATTTATTTATTTTTTTAGAGTACATCTTTTTCTTGTGTGCTCAAGACACTGTGCTAAGAACTTAATTTTATAAAGTAAAATCCAAATATCACTTAAGACTTTTCAAGATAACAGTAGTGAGAAATTGAGGAATGTGATAAATGGGAAAGAAAAGATAAGGAAAATGGGATTCTGAGGGAACGAAATGATATGTAATGTAGAATTTCAGATAATGTGGAGAAGATGATGTTATTTCCTGAAAAGGTAGACATTTATCCTTAAATTCTCTCGAATGTAGGCTGTGACTGTACATTTTTTAAAAATTTCATTTTGTTTATACAGAAACTACTCTTTTCCAGGCATACAGGATTTTTCCAATATATATAGTTTTTAAAAAAATAATGGCAAGCTGTTTGGTGAGCATTATTGAACAGTAGATAATGCAGTGCTGTTGAGTTTATTAGATACCATATGTTATAGTAGACTAGTTGAGTGGATAATAGGGGGAGATTTGGTGTAGAATTCCAATGTATTCTTTGCTTTTTTCCCAGCTCCTACAAAAGCAGAGAGGATAAATTACTGCCTTGGCCTTTTGGTTATATTCCAAAGCAAGAGAAGTCATTTTCAAAGAGGAGCTTTCTTATACTGCATATAGATGATTTCTAGAAATCACACTTCCCATTTTCAGATAAATTAAGAGGTTGATATAGAGGCTATTTTTGGAGGACTGGAGTGGTAGAATCCTTACATATAAATGGTGTTGTGATGGCTTAGTTAAAAACCTCTGACACTTCAGTGGAAGAAAATTAGCAGACACATCTGAAGAGATAGCTGTTTTTACATAGCTGGTCATTTAGACTAATGGATACTTAGTTCTCACTGGGATTTTATAAACTCAATGGCTTTCATAGCATTTGATTGTAAATTAATGATAAATTTTATTTGATCATAAAGTCTTAGATTTTATTTATTTTTAAAAGATTTTTATTTATTTATTTGACAGAGACACAGTGAGAGAGGGAACACAAGCGGGGCGGGGAGTGGGAGAGGGAGAAGCAGGCCTCCCGCCGAGCAGGGACCCCGATGCGGGACTCAATCCCAGGACCCTGGGACCATGACCTGAGCCGAAGGCAGACGCCCAACGACTGAGCCACCCAGGCGCCCTTTAGATTTTATTTTTTAATATTTAATTTTAAAATTTATATTTTTTAAAAATTGAGATGTCATTGACATATTAGTTTCAGGTGTAAAATATAATGATACTATAATTGTATATATTGGGAAATGATCTCCACAGTAAGTCTAGTTAACATCCATCACTGCACATAGTTACAGATTTTTTTCTGTTGTGATGAGAACTTTTAAGATTTACTCTCTGGTGTGTTAACTAGACTTATTGTGGTGATCATTTCACAATATGTGGAAATACTGAATCACTATTTTGTATACCTGAAATGAATATGATGTTGAATGTCAGTGATATCTCAATTAAAAAAAAAGTTTACAAAAAAATATCTACTCTCAGGGCACCTGGGGTGGTGCAGTCGGTTGAGCATCCAACTCTTGGTTTCTGCTCAGGTTGTGGTCTCAGGGTCGTGAGATTGAGCCCTGCATTGGGTTCAGCGCTCGGCACGGAGTCTGCTTGAGACTCTCTCTCCCTCTCCCCTTCCCTCTGCATGCGCTCTCTTTCTCTAAAATAAATAAATAAATCATTAAAAAAAATCTACACTTTTAGCGACTTTCAAATACACAGTACGGTGTTATTAACTGTGGTCACCATGCTGTAAGTTGCCTCCCCAGGACTTTCTTATTTTATAACTTTAAGCTTATATCTTTTGACTCTCTTCACCCATTTCATCCCCTTCTCCTCCCCTGCCTCTGGCAAATACCAATCTGTTCTCTGTATCTTTGAGTTTTGTTTTTTTTAATGAAGGCCTAGATTTTATCAAATAATTAGAAGGAGAATTGACCTTGAGTAGCTAATGTAGTGGTTTTCAGTTACTTTGCTCCTAACTAAGGAGTTTAGTAAGTGGATATATCTTGTTATATAATTATATTTTCGTAGGCATGGCAGAAAGCACGAAGTGATGGATGGGAGCGAGCCTTTTGTGAGAAGAATTTTCTTTCACAAGCTACCATGGAAATAATCATTGGCATGAGAACTCAGTTGCTTGGTCAACTTAGAGCATCAGGTAAAATTTTCCCTAAAGAACTTATTTAGTCCACTGAAAGTACCTTATCTATACTTCATAGTATTTTTAGTGTTAACTGATGCCATCTTACATTATTTTTATCACATTTTCACATTGTTGTATATCTTGTATATATGAACTGCTTTGTAGACTCCTATGTGAGCTCAGCTTTTGTTGGTTAAAAAAATGATATTGTAGAAGCTGTAGATGAGAAATATATGAATACTGTAGGCAGTGAGCAATTTATAGTATATTTATATTATATTTATATTTATAGTATATTTGTTGGCAAAAAGCAATTTAGATATTGTAGTTCTGTTTTATCACTCTTAATAAACACTTCCTTAGCTCTATAATAGATTTAAATATATAAGTAGGTTGATACAAATGTGGTCTTCTTATTTTTGGAACATAAAACAGCTAGTAATCTCTTTAAGGCACTTAATTTTTTTTTAAGAGAATGGCAGTATTGTTATGTCATTTTAGAATTATTTCTTTAAATTTCCTTTTGAGTAGCATAGTACATTGAGAATGTAGTCGAGGAAGAGTGCTAGAGCCTCGATACATGGATGAGCTAAAGTGCCAAAGTAATATGAGGAGTGAACCAAGAGGTTTTAGAGTGGTCTCAAATATTAGGAAATATGAAGGGCTTTGGAAATTCAAGCAAGAATATATGTATTGTCTTCATTCTAGAATTCATGTCTGTCATAACCAAAATGTTATACCAGTCAGAAGAATGGTTTAGATTTTCAGCTATGATTTTAGTACATTTCTTTTTTTAAAAAATTTTAGTACCTTTCTGATAGCATCTTATGAAGAACTTTATATAGCAAGGATGTGTATTTTTTAAAAGTCCTTAAGTCCCCAATAAATCTTCTATTTACTTTAGCCTGAGCAAACCTAAACTTCTTAGAACATTGATTCCGTATTTTAAACTTTACAGAGGAGATTTTATTAATTATTGTGGAATTTGAATATCCTTAAACTTATGTGGGTTATTACAATTTTTGTAAAAAACGCACACGTTTAAAAGTATATTTTGCACAATAGAAAAAGTCGGTGTGGTTTTTTTCCTTCTTCTAGGTTTTGTTAGAGCACGAGGTGGTGGTGACATTCGAGATGTTAACACAAATTCCGAGAACTGGGCTGTCGTTAAAGCTGCATTGGTGGCAGGCATGTATCCTAATTTAGTCCATGTGGACAGAGAGAATGTAGTATTGACAGGGCCAAAGGAGAAAAAAGTTCGGTTTCATCCCACTTCAGTTCTCAGTCAGCCTCAATATAAAAAGGTAAAACATTTTTAATGCTCTTAGGCCTTGAGGTGAAACTAACCTAATTTACATAGTTGAAGAGCAACAAAAAGATGCTCCAAATACCAACCTACTTTAAGAAATTAATTGGTTATATATGTATAATTCGTCATTGGAACAAAATTTTGATGAAATGTTAGAGTTGGAAGAGGTAATGTGTTAGGTAATGAGGACTTGCGTTCCAGCTGCATGAGCAGTGACTTGCTTTAATGTTTGCTTGACTACTAATATCCATCATCTGTTGCATTGAGGGACTTTTTACAGTTTAAAAGTAGGTGGTAAATACAGTTAACAAGTTTTTGATTTATTTTTCTGATAGATTCCTCCAGCCAATGGTCAGGCTGCAGCGATTCAGGCACTCCCCACAGATTGGCTTATTTATGATGAGATGACCAGAGCCCACAGAATAGCTAATATTAGATGTTGTTCGGTAGTGACCCCCGTCACTGTGTTGGTGTTCTGTGGACCGGCGAGGCTGGCAAGTAACGCTCTTCAGGAACCTTCCTCATTTCGAGGTAAATGTATCATAAGGAAATAAAAATCGATTTGAAATGAAATTTTTTTTTTACTAGACCAAATAAAATATGAAATTCCAAAGGTTTATGTAGGAGTAGCTCCCTTTTGCTATATTAAGACTAATTAGAAAATACTAAAGTATACCTCAGTTCTTAAAATTGATTTCTAAGGTAACTTGTTATTGATTTGTGCATTTTTGGTTAATCTTGGTGATAGGAAGTTTACTTTTCTCTCCCACTTGAAATTACATAATAGTTTAACATAAAGGCAATTGTTTAAGGAAAATAATAATAGTAACCCATGACCCCATTTCCCTTATGCACTTTTTAATAATATTTTAAGACTATTATGTGGTATTTTTAAAGTTATATATATTTTAAATTATTTTACATTCTGCTATTTTCATTGTGCAGAATACAAATTTTCAAAAATACTTTATATTAATGGCTGCAAAATATTCTGTCACTTAAAAGTGGCATAATGCATTTAAAATGCTCCTTTACACTTGCTTGTTTTCAATTTTTTGCTATTCAGTGATTCAGCAAATATTTATTGGTCAATTCCTATATGTCAAGGGTGCTAGGCATTGAAGATGTAACAGAAAATAGGATAGACAAGGTGTTTTGGTCCTTAGGAGTTCACATGGCAGTGGGGGGTAGACAGAAAAAAAGTAAATAATCTGCATGCTACTAAGAAGGAAATAAAGAGGAATGCCGTAGGGGTGACCTACTTTAGAAAGAGACCCTGGAACAAATATCTCTGAGGAGGTGTGATTTGAGTATAAAACATAAAGTTTGAGAAGCCACCAGTCATGTGAAGATACACAAATAAACTCGCGGTAGGAGAAGATGGCACAAAGGGCCACAATTCTCCACTAGGAAATGTTCTAAGAACTGACAGAAAGGTTATGGGATTGGGAGCATAATGATCAAGGGGAGAGTAGGGTAAGATGAGGTTGAAAGAAAGGCATGAACTTTTAAGCCATGGTAAATGCAAGGGAAGACACTGAAGGATTTTAAGTAAGGGAGTAATATGATGTTATTTAAGTTCAAAATGATCATTGTGGCTGTGAGGATGGATTGTTGCAGGAGGAAGAATGGAAGGGAGGAGGCAGGTAGGCTTTTGCAGTGTGTGGTCTTAATGACAGATAATGATGGCTCAGAACTACAGTGGTGGCAGCTGATAGGAAGAGAAGGAGATTCAAAATTATTTTGGAGGTACTAGTAACTCCTGGATTGTATGGGTGGTGAGTGAAAGGGAGGAGTCAGTAACTTTCAGGATTTTGGCTGTGGTAGCTTGCTGAATAATTTTTTAAAATTCTTTTTTCTTCTTGATGTTCAGCTTGGGTGATTTCTGCCACCCTGTCTTCTAGATCACTGATCTGTCCTACTCATCTAATCTGATGTTGATTCCCTTTAGTTTATATTTCATTTCAGTTATTATATTTCTCAGCTTTCCCCTCATGTACTGTTTCAGAAAGCTTACATGATTGTATATTACATTTGGCATCTTTATTTTTTTAAGTATTTATTCAGCATGGGGCCCGAACTCACGAACCCGAGATCAAGACCTGAGATGAGATCAAGAGTCAGCCACTTAACTGACTGAGCCACCCAGATGCTACATCTCCTTTTCTTCTTTTAAATTGAAACCTGTGAATTTACATGAGCATTTCTTGATTTATAGTGTTTTCATTCCCTTCCTTATGTTCTCAGTTTTCTTCTTCATCCAGTTATTATTTAAAGATTGTGTTTTGGTTTTTAAGTTCTTGTCTTTTTTTTTTTTTTAAGATTTTATTTATTTATGGGGCGCCAGTGTGGCTCGGTTGTTAAGCGTCTGCCTTCGGCTCAGGTCATGATCCCAGAGTCCTGGGATCGAGCCCCGCATTGGACTCCCTGCTCCGCGGGAAGCCTGCTTCTCCCTCTCCCACTCCCCCTGCTTGTGTTCCCTCTCTTGCTGTGTCTCTGTCTGTCATATAAATAAATTAAAAAATCTTAAAAAAAAAAGATTTTATTTATTTGAGAGAGAGAGAAAGAGAACACAAGTGGGGGGTGAGGAAGGGCAGAGGAAGAGGGAGAAGCAGACTGCCCGCTGAGCAGGGAGCCTGATGCGGGACTTGATCTCAGGACACTGAGATCATAACCTGAGCTGAAGGCAGACGCTTAACTGACTGAGCCACCCAGGCACCCCATTCTTGTCTTTTTTTTATTTTGTTGCGTTTTGATTAGAGATTGTAGTCTTTAAAATGCCTTTTCCCCTCTTTTTATAAATATTGAGACTCAATTTGTGAACTGTTGGATTTAGAGAGCTCCCCATCCAAACCGTTAGTAATCAGGCGGATTTGTGTAAATACAGAGTGTCTGTATATACTGACTTCTTTTGCTATAAGATGGTAAAAGTGAAATTTTTTCCTTTCAATATGTGTTTGAACAGCGGATGGTATTCCTAATGACAGTAGTGACAGTGAAATGGAAGATAGAACTACTGCTAATTTGGCAGCTTTGAAGCTTGATGAGTGGCTTAATTTCAAACTAGAGCCTGAGGTACGTTGCTTTTCAGTAGTGTGATAAGTTTCTTTCATTCAATGAGTGTAAATTGACATACAGTATGTTGGAAATTACACCTTTACTAATGAGCCCTTAGTATTAGAGAATATAGTTTGTGTTTCAGTTTTCACAGGGCCCTTATGCATTCTCTGACATATTGGGGTTTATTTAAGTAGAGGATTTGAAAAGCCTCGATGTGGCTCGTATTTAAGCACAGTGATATTTGAGTATTTCTGTGTATGTAAGAAAATACCAAGTGTTGGGTGGTACAGAAGAACTCCCTTTATTTCATATAACTCTGTTTCTGAGAAAAAGATACGAGTTCATTCTGTTTTCTCTTTTTGTGTATCTCTGAATTGGGAAAGATGAATGTCTTTTTTCAAATTAAAAATGTTCTTGACAAAGCCTTTCCTTCATTCCATCTCCACCTTTATTTATTTATTTCAAGGTATTCACACCTACTATATTGTTATTATCCCCCTTTAACTTTCTGCATAATTTACTCCTTTTAGAACAGGAATAAAAGGGGCAGTACATTATTTTCTAACCTTATGCCATCAAATCAGTTAATACAGATGCTCAACACATTTAATTATACAAGATCAATTTGTTTTGAGTTATAAAATTGATGTTGATATGTAATTAATGAAAAAAATAAGATGAAAAAGATAACTATAAGAATACCCAGATATATACCGTATTCCCATTTATATGGATCTGATCCATAAAACATCAACACATTCACTTAGAAACTAATTTAATCCATGGATCAAGGCTATATATTCAAAGTATTTTAAGGATGCCAGGATACTACAAGAGCTGGAGAAAAGAGTTTGGGAACAGTATATGCTTGCTAAACAAGAACTATGTTTATTTAGCTAGTGAATACCTAGAGTAATAAATTTTTACCTCATGATAGTCAGACTTGCAAACATGCAGAAATAGGAATTAAGGGTTTTTTTTAGAGTTATTTATTTGAGACAGAGCATGTGCGTCAGCGGGAGGAGGGACAGAGGGAGAGGGAGAGAGAGAATCTCAGGCAGACTCCCCACTGAGTGTGGAGCCCGATGGGAGGCTTGATCTCATGACCCTGAGATCACAATCTGAGCCGAAATCAAGACTCAGATGCTTAACTGACTGAGCCACCCAGGCACCCCAGGAATTAAGAGTTTTAAATGTAGTTATAAAGTTCATAAAAAATCAGACTGAGGGGCGCCTAGGTGGCTCAGTCATTAACGTCTGCCTTCAGCTCAGGTCATGATCCCAGGGTCCTGGGATCGAGCCCTGCATCGGGCTCCCTGCTCAGTGGGAAGCCTGCTTCTCCCTCTCTCACTCCCCCTGCTTGTGTTCCCTCTCTCACTGTGTCTCTCTCTGTCAAGTGAATAAATAAAATCTTTAAAAAAAAAAAAATCAGACTGAGGTACATTTACTCAAAATGTTGAGATTCATTAAGTGGTAGCAAACAAAATAATTCCTCAGACAAATGCACACTTTCCAGTATACATATTATTGGGGAAAGAAAGGAGAAGAATGTGCATTAAGTGGTGAGATCCACCAAGCTGTATATCAATATTCTGTTACACCAAACAGTTTGGAGACAAGGGAGTTGCTCTAATATAATTTCAGGTTATGGTTCACTTGGCTAAAATAGGTTGGTTTGCCATATTAAAAGTTTACTACAGTAATTTTTCACATAAACATTTAAGACTTGAACTCCAGAAGTAAATATGGCATGATTATTTTGCTTTTAATCTGTCAAATAGCTAAAAGTCAACAATTTTAAAAACTATAACAAAGAACAAGTTGAAGTGATGTGACTCCTACGTCATTGAACCCCTCCTAATGGTCAACTGTTAGTATTTAACCAATTCAGAGAGTTAATGAATCCTTGCATTCATTCAGTTTTCTGTGCCTTAGCTAGGATGTGTAATTACAAAAGATAGATACTGGTAAAAGCTCCGTCTCTATTTTTAAAAGATCCTACTATATCCTTTTTTTTTTTTTTTTTTTGAAGGGGGAAGGTGGTCAGCTAACCTGTCAATAGTCGACAACTGGTTAGGTTTACTTTTTTACTCTCCGTTCACTTGTCGCTTCAGCCTCCTGGAGTCCCACTTCCATTTGCACCAGCCCTTCCCTTCCTTGAAACGGTCCTTGCCAAGGTCAGCATGTCCCCCACGTTGTCATGGCCAGCCCACTGTGTTGAGTTCACCCTTTCTCTCGTGTTTGGCACTGTTGTCCATACCCTCCCTTGTGTAATTCTGCCCTTCCCCATTTTTCCTCCTCATCCCTGTCCCAACTTCTTTGTCACAAGTTAGTATGACATTAATCTTTCCTGATTCTTCTTCTTTCTTAAAAAGTCATTCCTCCTTAGGTTCTTTCACTGACTCTGCTGTATGTGTTTGTGCCTCAAATGTTAGATATTCTCCAGTACTCTGGGCTTTCCTCTGCTCTTTTCATGTCTCTGTACAATCTCTAGGGACCTCACCTTGGTGTGTGGATTTAGTAACCATTTATGCACGGATGACTCCCAAGTCTGTCTATATTTCTAGCTTCGGCCTTTCTCTGCACTTACGAGTCTAGCTGCCCTCTGGATCATCGTGTGGATGTTCTACAAGCACTAAAATAAAATAGGAAGGGAACTAAATGTATTTTTCTTTATTGACTCTGCTGTTACTGTTCCAGTTCTAATCACACTCTACCCACACACGATTTGCCGTCTCTTCCATCGGCCTGTGTCATTTGATTTTGTGTCTCTAGTCCTCAAATATGATAAAGAAGAAATGTTATCTCATTGGTGCAACAAAAAGAATGAAATACGCTGCTTCCTGACCAGTTGCAGAGTGTCCTTTGGAAACAGTTGCAGACCTTCCCTAGTGCGTGGGTGTCTTGCGCATGGGTTCGCCATCTGGCTTGGGTCTCCTGGACCTGAGGGGGCTGATCGTTCTGTTACAGGCGGCCGGTTTGCTGCTGCAGCTCCGGCACAAGTGGCACAGCTTGTTTTTGCGCCGAATGAGAGCTCCGTCTAAACCCTGGTCTCAAGTTGATGAAGCCACCATCCGAGCCATCATAGCTGTGCTCAGCACCGAAGAACAGTCTGCGGGCTTACAGCAGCCATCGGGGATAGGCCAGAGGCCAAGGCCTATGTCTTCAGAAGAACTCCCTCTGGCATCGTCTTGGAGGTCAAATAACAGTAGGAAAACCTCAGCAGATACGGAATTTTCGGATGAGTCTGCGACTGCAGAAAGGTAAACTGATAACATTTTTAGCAAAACGGGAGACTTTTTTCCCCCAGGAAAATGAATTATTTATCATAGAATCATGCTTTTGTAATATTAAAAAATTACTTATAATCTAAAATACACAAAAAGGTTACAATAAAACGGGAAGAGTTTTTTACCCCTTTTTTTTTTTTTTTAAAGATTTATGTATTTATTTGAAGTGGGGAGGGACAGGGAGAGGGAGAGAGAGAGTCTTAAGCAGACTCTTTGCTGAGCAGGGCTAATCTGACGACCCTGAGATCATGACCTGAGCCGAAACCAAGAGTTGGGCACTTAACCAACTGTGCCACCCAGGTGCCCCAAGTTTTTTACAAATATTAAGATAATATGAAGGATTTTAAGCTACTGGTATCTATAAGTCATTTAATAAGGCAATTTTTTTTATCAGGAAGAACTCAAAATGTTTAATTTCAAGAATTCACAAATTTAGGGTCTGTTAAAAAGCTACCAATATATATATATTTTTAAAGATTTTATTTATTTATTTGACAGATAGATAGAACAAGTAGGCAGAGTGGCAGGCAGAGGGAGAGGAAGAAGCAGACTCCCCGCTGAGCAGGGAGCCGGACGCGGGACTCGATCCCAGGACCCTCCTGGGATCATGACCTGAGCCGAAGGCAGCCGCTCAACCGACTGAGCCACCCAGGGCGCCCCCAAAAAAGCTACCAATATTTTAAAATTACATATTTTCATTGATATATGTCAAGTCATAACTTTCCCAGATATCCTACAGCAAGAGGTATGGGCTGTGGCCAATTAAAAGAACAACCTCCTCACAAGTCTTACCTAAGTATCAATATTGCTGACTAGTATTCCTCCAGGAGATCAATTATTCATTCATTTATTCAGTGACATATTAAACGTGTGTTGTTCTTGGTGCTTATAAGAGATACAGCAGTGTACCAAACAGACAAGATCTCTTCCTTCAGAGAGTTTATCTTTTATCCAGGGAAGGCATATAATAAGTAAACAAATGTACTGTAATGGTAAAATCTGTTACACTTTAGCCAAATTCTTCTTTTCTTTGCAGCATTTACAATTAGATATGTATTTTTTTTTAAGATTTTATTTATTTATTTGAGAGAGAGAATGAGAGAGAGAGAGCACACGAGAGGGGGGAGGGTCAGAGGGAGAAGCAGACCCCCTGCTGAGCAGGGAGCCCGATGCGGGACTTGATCCCGGGACTCCAGGATCATGACCTGAGCCAAAGGCAGTCGCTTAACCAACTGAGCCACCCAGGCGCCCTAGATATATTTTTATTTACTATATGATTATTAATAATAATGAGAGCCCTTATATTGAATTATTTATCCAAAAATGTATTTTGATTATATAATAGTGGTTATAATGAATCATTGGCCATGATTCAAAAATATTTGTTGTGTAAGAACATTTGTTAGAATCAAATTTAAGTTTCTCTATATCAGTTAAAACATTTTTTTACCCTGTTATAATTGATAACAAAAACAATATTCTTGTCTGTGATGCTAGTTTTGGCAATATTGGTAGAAAGTCTGTGTGGTAAGATTTCGTTGTTAAAAAAATTGAAAATAGAAACAGGGAAAACATTAAAGATACGTGATGTTTACTGTTTTTTAAGGATCAGATGGGGCTGTTAGTGTCTTCTTTTGGTCAGATTTGCATATTTGAATGAAGCATACGGCTTCATCAGGTCAGACTTCTGTTAAAGGGGAGTAATCCATACTGGTTTCCAAGTTCTTCAGGTATTACACTTGAGGAATAATTCAGGCATTTGCCAAGAAAGTCTTCTCATAATGTGTGTTCCTGAATGTTTCTCTCTGATGTAGGCCCTGCTGGGCAATAGAAGAGTAAAAGGCGCATTTTCTTCTTAGACACTACCCACCTTTTGAAAAGATTGTTCTAAAAACTTACTTGAACAATGGTTTAGGATGTGGGAATAGATTTCCATAGAAGTTGTTATGTGGTAATGTTATTCCTAGGCCCATCTATAAAAACCTGTTAGGCTCATAGAGACTCTGTGTGTTGTGTGTATGTGTATGTGTCTGTGTGTATAAATGCAAATGTATATGTGTGTGTGCACATATTCACATACGTGCACACACACATTTTTGGAAAAAAACTTCCTTTTAAAGTAATAAATACTTATTTAATAAAAGTTAGAAATTTAATAAAATTAAGAAAATCAAAATTATAAAATGTAATATTAGTTATAATTCAGATATTGATTGTCTTACAAATTTAGTTTTTCACCTGTGATACTGGAATCAAGCATTTCCATTTCCTTACAAGTTGTAGCCTGGCATTCTTCATTTTCTTACCTGTTGAACAGTGAGATCTGGAATTTCATCTACCTTCAGACTTTTGGTAGTATTAATAGATAAGGCAGTATTATAGGTAAGTTCAGACTTTTGGTAGTATTAGTAGATAATGACTAAGCCACCCAGGCGCCCCTCCATGTCAGAACTTCTTAAATGAAAATTTAAGTGGAGGGCTTCATGAAAGGCTTTGTTTCCATCTGAATGAAATTTTCCAAGGAAGCCAAATATAAGAGAGAGAAGCTAGAATGGGGCTCAGGTTAAAAGATCAGTTTGAAAATCAAAAGGTAAATAGGAAAATACATTTTTATTGTAATAAGGTTTTACCCTCATTAAGTTCTGTCACCTAATTTTCATGTCACAGAGGTGCCAGCGTAAGAACGCTGGGATTTTAGGGGGGTCGAATTTACATAATGCATTGAACATCAATTCACAAGAGAAAAAAACCCCTGAAAGGTTGTTTTTTACACTTCTTAGCAGGTGGTTAATGATTCAGCCGTTCATTCATTATAAAGTCTTTTGTTAATATCTTTAGGCTTCAGCTATTTTATTCATTTGTGAAACAATCCTGGATCTAAGATAGTTATTGAAAGAAAAGTCACTCCTGGGGCACCTGGGTGGCTTAGTCATTAAGCGTCTGCCTTCAGCTTAGGTCATGGTCCCAGGGTCCTGGGATTGAGCCCCGCATCGGGCTCCCTGCTCAGCGGGAAGCCTGCTTCTCCCTCTCCCACTCCTCCTGCTTGTGTTCCCTCTCTTGCTGTGTCTCTCTCTGTCAAAAAATAAAATCTTAAAAAAAAAAAAGGAGAGAAGTGACTAATGGAGATAAGCTATTTTAACTTATCTTGAAGGAAGAGTAATTACATTGTAAGGGTGTTCGGAAGTTTATGAATTATTGAACACATTCTTTTTTGTTTTAAACGTGTTTATTATAAATATTGTTAAACACAGCAAACTAAATGATACGCCATAATGAACTCCATATCCCACATCAGCAGTTACCAAGATTTTCACCTGCTTGCTATATCTAACCAAATTTTCTTTTGTTTGTTCTTGGCTTTCTTTTTTTGGTTTACATATTTCAAAGTAAATCCCACACATCATGTCATTTTACCCTTCCATATTTAAATATGCATCTCTTAAAAATAGAGGAATTTTGGGGCACCTGGGTGGCTCAGTTGGTTAAGCATCTGACTCTTGATCTTGGTTCAGGTCTTGATCTCAGGGTTGTGAGTTCAAGCCCCATGTTGGGCTCCATACTGGTTGTGAAGCCTACTTAAAAAAAAATAGAGGAAATTTTCCTACATAATCAAAATCCAATTATTAATCCCAGTAAAATGATCATTTCCTCAGTTCTCATACTATACATTTATTTGAATTAGCATCCAGGGGGGACGCATGCATTATATCAGGGTGTCATGTTTCTTGAGTGTCTTGTGATCTCTAGTAGTTCCTCTGTTAACTTTTATTTTTTTATTTTTATTTATTTATTTTTTAAAGATTTTATTTATTCATTTGACAGAGAGAGAGAGATAGCAAGAGCAGGAACACAAGTGGGGGAGTGGGAGAGAGAGAAGCAGGCTTCCCGCTGAGCAGGGAGCCCGATGTGGGACTTGATCCCAGGACCCTGGGATCATGACCTGAGCCGAAGGCAGATGCTTAACGACTGAGCCACCCAGGCAGGCGCCCCAACTTTTTTTTTTTTTTTTTAAAGATTTTCCTTATTTATTTGAGAGAGAGCCAGAGAGAGCATGAACGTCGGGGGGAGGGGTAAAGGGAGAGGGACAATCAAACTCCCCACTAAGTGGGGAATCCGACATGGGGTTCAATCCCAGGACCTTGGGATCATGACCTGAGCAGAAGGCAGATGCTCATCCGACTGGGCCACCCAGGTGCCCCCTCTGTGGACTTTTTTGAAGAAAGTGGGTTGGTGGTACTGTGAGGTACACCACATTCTGGATTTGTCTGTTTGTTCTTGGCCTTCTTTGTTGCCATACCATGTGTATTTTGTCTAAACTGGTAGTTAGCTCGCAGGGCTTGATTAGAGCCAATATTTTGGCAAATGTATTTTATAGGTGGTGCTGTGAACTTTGTATTGCATGTCTTCAGGAAGTACTCAGTGCTTTTTTGTTTTTTAATGTCTGGTTATTCCACAGACCTATACTTTTAGAAAAATTATAAAATACGTGGCTGCCAGCTTTGCTGCATTTATTCACAGAATTTTAGAATAGAAGAACCTTACAGTTTATCTAGTGTAATCCTTTTATTTAACACATAAGTAAATTAAAGCTCAGATAAGTTAAGAGACTTGCCCAGAATCACATACCTTAACCTTAGTTGCAAATTTAGTACTGTCCTAGAAGTCTTCTCTCCTGACTCTAGTCTAGCAGTATTCTAATACTTTATCATACCATAATTTTTTAGTATGCTTTTAAAATATATTTTACTTGGCTCTAAGATACTTTGTGAAAGTGGAAGGGAAGTAGAGTGAGTGATATTCTAGTAAGGGCTATTAGCATAGTTGTATTTATTTATTTATTTATTTATTTATTTATTATTTATTTATTTTTAAAGATTTTATTTATTTATTTGACAGAGAGAAACACAGCGAGAACAGGAACACAAGCAGGGGGAGTGGGAGAGGGAGAAGCAGGCTTCCCGCTGAGCAGGGAGCCCGATGCGGGGCTCGATCCCAGGACCCCGGATCATGACCTGAGCTGAAGGCAGACGCTTAACAACTGAGCCACCCAGGCACCCAGCATACTTGTATTTAAATAATTATATAATGTTAAAGACCTCTCCAATAGCATCATACAAGAGGTTAGGAGTTTTGTAAGGGAAATAATACTTTGAGTATTTGTTAACATTAAGTTAAGAATTTCTGTAAATTGTTAAAAATATATTTTTACCTGTTGTTTGTGTAAGGACACCCTAATATCTCAGATGTTTTTTAACTTGTGTGAGAAAACGAAATTCCCTTCTTAAATATTACTCCATATATCATAATGCCACTGGAACTATGGTTTGAAATGGAATCTGCTTTATATTATGAACTTGTGTGTCACTGATCTTTATTTCCTCCTTCCCACTCAAGAGTATTGATGAAATCTCCATCTCCAGCACTGCACCCACCTCAGAAGTACAAAGATAGAGGAATTTTACATCCTAAACGAAGCACCGATGACCGATCGGATCAATCTTCTGTGAAATCTACAGACAGCAGTAGCTACCCAAGTCCTTGTGCTAGCCCTTCTCCTCCATCCTCGGGAAAGGTAGAGTATCTACAAGTTGATGTAGCAAGGAACAGATTGCTAGCACATTTCATGTTACATATTGAAGCAAAATGACAAAACAATTCTACTTTTGGTTACTAATTGTGGTCTTTGTTCTAGATACAAATTGAATCTGGCAGACTTGAGACACCTTGCATAAATTTTTTAGTTTTTCCTGCTTGCCAGAGATTTCTAGTTATCCCCATCTTGGGATGTTTTAAAACTAACAGATCGTTTACCGATGGCACGTAACTCAGCCATCCACCATTTCCTTTCTGTATTGTTAGAACCTTTTTTTGTTAAGTTACAAGATGATCTCAAACTAGTTTAGGTTTGTAATTTCAGAATTGCAAACAGTGGTTTCTCTGAATTACTAATTGATTTTTCCAATTCAGTGGTTATATTAAAAAGATGGGGTGGGGTTAGGAAGATAGGAAATGTTGGTAGGGAATTGAGAACTATGTATCTTTTAAAAAATTTGTAATACTAATGATTTCAAATGTTTAGAGTATGTTTACTTTTAATTTCCTGTGTTGTTGGTACTGAGTAAGTATTTGATTAAGGTTATTTAGCTATATGTGTTCTGGGGAAAATGTCTGCTGAAACACTCTTTTTAAAAAAGTTTTTTTATTATGTTAATTACCATATATTATGTCATTAGTTTTAGATGAAACACTCTTGTTAGATAAGAGGAAAATAAATGTTTTTTGTGGATTTGCATTCTTAGGTTTTAGGGTGTTTTAAGTATCTTTATTTAGGTATATACACAGTAAGATTCACCAGTTTAAACTGTACAATTCAGTGAATTTTGACAAATGTATATAATTATATAAACGTATCACAGCCACATACAGGACATGCCCACCAGCCCTGGATCATGACGGCGGCCGAACTGCTCTCTGTCTCAAGAGTTTTGTCTTTTCTGCAATTTGCTCTAAATGGAATCATATGTATGTAGTTTTTTGTGACTGGGTTATTTCACTTTTGAAATTCATCCAAATTATTCAGTGTATTATTAGTTCATTACTTTTTATTGCTGGATAGTATGGCTAATACCATGGAATGTTTATCCATTCACCAGTTGGACATTTGGATTGTTTCCCACTTTTTGGCTGTTATGAATAAAGCTGCTATAATATTCAAGGACAAGTCTGTGTGTGTACGTATGGTTTCTATTCTTGGGTAAACATCCAGGAATAGAATTGTGGGATTGTATGGTTAAGTGCATGTTTAACTTTATAAGAAACTATCCAGCTATTTTCCAGAATGGCTATGCTTTTTTCCATTCCCTTCAATCATCTGTGAAGGTCCCAAATGCTCCATGTTCTTGACAATACTTGACATTATTAATCTCTTTAATGTTAGCCGTTCTGGTGGGTACATAGTGATACCCGATTGTAGTTTTAATTTGTGTTTCCCCAATGACTGATGTTGAGCCTCTCTTCATGTGCTTATTTGCTGTTCCTGAATTTTCTTTGGTGTGAGGTATCTGTTCAAATTTTTGCTCAACTTTTTTTGGTTGTTTATTGGTTGTTTGTCTTTTTTATTTAATAGTAAGATTTTAAAAAATGTGTTCTAGATACAGATCTTAATTATATATGCTTTGCAACTTTTTCTAACAGTCTGTGCCTGCATATTCATTTTCTTAACAAGTGACTTGAAGAGCAGTGTTTTTAATTTTGATGAAGTCCATTGTAGCTATCTTTTTCTTTTTCTCTTATGGTTCATATTTTTTGTGTTCTAAGAAGTCTTTGTTTAACTCTGGGGTGCCAGGATGGCTTAGTCAGTTGAGTGTCCGACTCTTGGTTTTGGCTCAGGTCATGATCTCATGGTCTTGAGATTGAGACACCCCTTCCCCCATGGGGCTCCACTCTCAGTGGGGAGTTTGCTTGAAGATTCTCTCCCTCTGCCCCTCTCCCCACTGACATGTGCACATGAGCGTGTTCACTCTCTCAAATAAATAAATCTTAAAAAAAAGAGAAATTTTCGCTTAACTCAAGATTACAAAGATGTTCTCCTATGTTTTCTTCTAGAAATGTTGTAGTGAGAGCTCTTACATTTAGCTAGATGCTCTGTTTTAAGTTTTGTTTATAGTATGAGTGGGTCACGGGCCATATTTTGTCATTTGCCTATACAGTTGTTCTAGCACCATTTGTTGAAAAGATTACCTTTTCCTTTGAATTATCTTGGCACCTTTGTCAAAAATCGATTGACCGTAAATAATGTGATCTACTTATTGGACTCTATTCTGTTGCATTGATCTTTATACCTCTCTGTTTTGCCTCTGCTACAGTGAGTTGTTTATAGTAGCTTTATACTAAGCTTGAAACCAGTTAATTTTTTTTCTCCAACTCTGTTGTTTTTTAAAATTGTTCTGGTATTCTAGGTGTTCCAGTATTCTTTCATATAAACTTTAGAAAATTCTTGTCAATTTCTACAGAAACATTTTTTGGTATCAAGTGGAATTGCATTGATTCTGTAGGTCAGTTTAAAGAAAACTGACAACAGGTTTTAGTTTCCTAATCCGTAAGCATGGTATACATCTGCATTTCTTTTGATATTCTTTAATTTTTCACAAGTGTTTTGTAAATTTCAGAGTTCAGGTATTACCTATTTTTTGTTAAGTTGATCTCTAAGTATTTTATATTTTTGATGCTGTTCTTTAAATTTTTAATTTCCAGTTCATGGCTAGCATATAGAAATACATTTGACTTTTGTATATTTACCCAATATGCCACAATCTTATTTCATTTATTAATTCTGTTAGCTTTTTATGTAGATTTCTCAGGATTCTCTACATGCATAATCATTTCATCTCTTAATAAAGGTCGTTTTGCTTTTTTCCTCACTAGTATTGATTCTGTTTATTTCTTTTCTTGCCTGTTCTCTCTGATTAGAGCCTCCAGTAAAATGTTTAATAAAAAGTATTGAGAGCAGACATCTTTGCCTTGACCTTAGAGGGAAAGCTAGCCCCTAGTTAAACCTGTCACCATTTATGATAACATAACTGTGGGATGTTTCCTTTTGGATGCACTTTGCTGAGAGGATTTATTAGGAATAAATGTTGAATTATGTTCAGTGCTTTTTTTTTTTTTTTTACGTCTACTGAAATGATAACAGAATTATTTTTTCTTCTTATTTCTTCTTATTTATTCTTTCTATTAATAAAGTGGATGTCATTGACTGTTTTTATAATGTTTATGCCTTACTTGGTCACGATGATTATTGTTTTAAATATTATTGGATTTGATTTTGCTTAATCAAAACTTCTGTTAAGTTTGGGATCTTTGTTCATGAGGGAGGGATATTATGTAGTTCTCTTTTCTTGTGTTGTTTTTGTATGGCTTTAGTATCAGGGTAATGCTGGCCTCATAAAATCAGTTGGGAAGTCTTCTTTCCACTTAAGGTTTTTGGAAGAGATGCCTAGAATTGATGCGATTTTTTTCCTTAAATGTTTTAACTTTCCTTGGTGTATCTCGAATCAATATTATACACTTCAGGTATAGTTTGAGAAGCTTGCAACAGTATGTTTTTTTTTTTTTTTTTAAGATTTTATTTATTTATTAGAGAGAATGAGAGAGAGAGAACACATGAGAGGGGGGAGGGTCAGAGGGAGAAGCAGACCCCCTGCTGAGCAAGGAGCCCGATATGGGACTCGATCCCAGGACTCCAGGATCATGACCTGAGCCGAAGGCAGTCGCTTAACCAACTGAGCCACCCAGGTGCCCGCAACAGTATGTTTTTATTTTACCCCTTAGTCCTTTGTGTTACTGGTCTCATACATTTTATTTCTACATACATTAAAAGTGCCACAGTGTAGTATTTTTTACTTCGTAGTAAACTATCTTTTCCCAAAAGTCAGAAAAGTGTCCTTTATATTTATTCAATATTTACCATTTCTTGTGCTCTTTATTCTTTTGTGTTGATGTGAATTTCTATCTTGGATCATACACTTCTGTCTGGAAACCTTTTAACATTTCTTTTAGTACAGATATTCTGGAAATGAAGTCTTCAAGCTTTTGTCTGGAAAACCTTTTTCACTTTTATTTTTGGAAGATATTTTTACTGTGTATATAATTCTGGGTTGACAGTGGTTTTCTTTAATTTATGCAAAGATGTCATTCCATTATCTTCTCGTTTACAGTTTCTGAGGGAGGTTTACTGTCTTTCTTATTTTTATTTTCCTCTCTATATTTTTTTTTCCTCTAGCTGCCTTTAAGATTTTCTTTTTATCACTGGTTTTCAGCAATTTGATTTTGGTATGTTACTATTTGTAGTTCTTATTTAATCTATGTATTTATAGTTTGCATCAGTTTTGGAAAATTTAGGACCATTATTCACATTTTTTTTTTTAATCTCACCACTTCCCCTCCTTTTTGGGACTTTTGAGAGGCAAGTGTCGATACTATTCCACAAGTCACTGAAGCTTTCTTCATTTTTTTCAGTTGTCTCTGTTTCATTTGAGATGGCTTCTCTGGCTATGCCTGTAAGTTCACTGAGGTTTTTAATTTGTAGCATCTCATTGGCTGTGTATTCTTTCTACTGTACTTTTCACTGCGAGTATCATATTTTCATCTCTAGAGCACCCTTTGGGTCTTTAAAAAAATACCTTCCATTTCTCCTTTCAAAAGGCATGTTCAAGTTCACTTTACCTTCTTGAACACAGAGCATGTATTTATAATAGCTGCCCTGCTGTTCTTGTCTCCTAATTCCATCATCTGTCAGATCTGAATCTTTCCCTGTTTGTTCATTTTTTTGTCCTGGTTATGGGTCATATTCTCCTGTTTCTTTGCATTCCTTATAGTTTTGTTTCGCTGCTAGATTTTTGTTGTATTCCTTTAAGTACTATCAGACATCGTTCTGGTACATAGCTAAGTTAGTTGCAATCAGTTTAATCTTGTTGAGATTTACTTTTGGAAAGCAATGTTAGGGCAGGTCCAGAGCAGTTTTTATTCTGGTACTAATTTAGTTTCAGTACCAAGGTGTGAGCCTTCCGTGGGCTAAGGCCCTCTGTATTAACAGTTCTTTCCATCTTGGCTGGGGATAACGTGGAATACTCCCAACCCTGCGTGAGCTCCGGGAATGGTTCAGTCTACTGCTTTCCTCTGGATCTTTCCCTGGCGTTAGGTCATGTTTTCTCACTCATATGCAGGTCAGTACGTAGTCAGAAACTTGTGGGGACCCCTCTGCAGTTCCTCGGGAACTTTATGTCTGTGCAACTCTCTTCTATCCAGCACGCTGCCATGCAAACTCTGACTACCTGGGTCTCTCGACTCCAGGCTCGGTCTCTGCAGTTCAGGGAGACTGGAGTTCTGTTTGTTTCCCTTCCCGGCACTGTTGCCTGGAAACTGTATCCAGGCGGTAAGCTGGAGCAATTTTTGTTTTGTTTTCAGCCTTTGAAAGTTTATTAAAATATTTTCTGAAAGTACATTTGGAGCATAAATCAAAGTTTATATTCCAGAATCCTTTCTTGATAAGGGATTTTGAATGCTCTTGAAAATGAGTGCTTGGTTTTGGCTCTTTAACCTCATTTTGATTGAGTCTTATGTAGCTTTTCAGGCATGATGGAGCTATTTGCATTTGTTGAATATTTGGTAAAATAATTTGGTTTATATGTTTATGAAGATGTTATTTAACGGAGCCTATTGATTTCGAAAGGTCAAATTACCTTTCAAGAACTTATGCATTCTTTTATAGGGCTCAAAATCTCCTTCACCAAGACCAAACATGCCTATTCGATACTTCATAATGAAGAGTAGCAATTTGAGAAACCTTGAAATTTCTCAACAGAAGGGTATCTGGTCTACAACCCCTAGTAATGAGCGGAAGCTAAATCGAGCCTTTTGGGAAAGCAGCATGGTTTACTTGGTATTTTCTGTTCAAGGATCTGGACATTTCCAGGTGAGCCATCCTGAACCAGTAAAATGGGGTTGTTCTGGCTGCAGGTTAGACCACACAGATTAAAACAAAAGCCAAAAACCACCCTGGCTTTTTATTGTTTCGGGATGCAAGAACGCATCTCGTTTGACTGAGTATGAGGGATGTAGTGTTACCTCTTGAAGGGAATGACTCTAGGGATCCCGTTGTTTTCCTCGTCTTACCAGAACCTCTCTAGATGAGCCATTTCTCCTTCTGAGGACAGCTTTAGATTTACTATTTTTCAGGTGGATTAAGAATAACGAGAAGCTTGACTTTTTGGTAAAATGTTTATTTAAATAGGCAAGGAAGTTAGAATTGATAATCCAGAATCTGAGTGTGTTTCTTAACTCCTCTTGACTCGATGTCTATCTGAATTTAGAAACTAAGGAATTTATTATTTGATATTATTATAATTTTTGGCAGTAAAAACTTACAGGTTCGATTGTATCTGTTTATCATGGAATAAGTATGGGTTTAGGGCTGTTAATACATTATTTAGAAAGTATCTGTTCATATTGAAATTATGTTAGAAGGCTGGAATCGGTCTTCCCTCTAAAATTTGCTAATACATCTTTTTATAAAAAACAATAAGTAACTTATTTTTGTTTTTGTGAGATACCATTTTTATATTACATTTTTACCTTAAAATTTAAAAAACCTCAGAGCTTTTGCAGATAAATTGAATTCAGACAATTTTAATATCATCCTCACCTTTCCCCTTGCCCTCGTTTTACCTGCAGGGATTTTCTAGGATGTCTTCTGAGATAGGAAGGGAGAAGAGCCAGGACTGGGGCTCAGCTGGACTGGGAGGAGTATTTAAGGTGGAGTGGGTCCGGAAGGAAAGTCTTCCCTTTCAGTTTGCTCACCACTTACTCAATCCCTGGAACGACAACAAGAAAGTCCAGATCAGCAGAGACGGGCAGGTATATAGTGGCATTTAATATTTGTCTTCTGCTTTTCTTTTTGTTTTGTTTTGCTGTTATTTGGTGGTTTGAGGAGGGAATGGAAGAGTACAGAATGTAGGTTCCATATGCACACGGGAGATGGTGGTTCCGATTTGTGGAGGAGCTGGTGAAAACCTGCTTGTAGGTGTTTGACAGAGCTCATGGCTTTTTTAACAGTTTGTAACTTTGGCTTCTCTCTGTCATTACATACATATAAAATCTTTCATAAGTTACTTCATGGAGGCTCCTGTTTTTGTCTTACTAATGGAAGATATGCTCAAAACTGAGCGTAATTCTGAAGTAATTTCACTCAAGTCTAAGGATAACAACAGTATCTGACTCCTTTGTGCCTTAACTAATTATGTAACATAAATAACAGCCTTTTTATATTTTTGTGGCTTGTTTTATTTCTGTTACGTTTGCTTGGCCTCTATCATGCTGCTGATGTGCATTTTGAACTAGTTAAGGGGATGGGAATTACCCTATATATGGACCACGGTGCTAGCCGCTTTATGTCAAGTAATTTAATTTAATGCATATTGAGTTATTAGGCCAGTTTTAGTCAGGAGAAATAGGAGAAATTATTCTAAGGTCACACAGCTAATAGTTTATTTAACCCATGTGATTCACTTTAAATCACCATATGGAAAGTGTTCGGGTTCTTTTTAAATGCACATCGTGTCACAAGAGGACTATAAATGACATTCTTTTAAATTGTATCAGAATATTTTAATTTTTATTCTATAATAAGGATTTTGAAGTAAGACTAATTCCTAAGATAAGAATATCATATACTCTCGATTATTTCATTAAAGCCCCCAAACATCTAATATGCTAGGTTTCATAGTAAATCTTTGAAAGCTGAAGCTGAGTGCTGTTGGTAAATCTCCATTAAAAATGAAATTCATTATTTCTAGATAGAAGTTCCAGGAGAACTCCATGGAAATTACCATCTTGTCACAGTTGTTGCTATTTTCGCAGGCTAACTATAATCTTGAAGTCTGGAATTGAACTTCACAAACCTGAACGCAGAGAATCAGAGCAATGTGATTTTATCATGTTCTGGTAGAAAAATGAAATTGAATGGCCTTTTCTTACATTTTTATCAGCATAGGTTTTGGTGCTTTAAAAAACTCAATCTAGTTCCTTTCGTGTTTATTCTGACTTCTGCTTTATCTAGGAACTAGAGCCTCAGGTTGGTGAACAGTTGCTGCAGTTATGGGAACGCCTTCCACTGGGAGACAAAACTGCAACTGACTGAACTCAGGTTATACTCTCCTTGACCTTGAATTCTGGCAGTATTTATGATCACTAAGGACATCTTTCAAATTATTTATCTTTTTTTTTTTTTTTTACTCCTTCAGAGCTCTGAGCTACAGAAGAACATCGTACCTGTTTAAAACCACCGAACACGCTGACTTCTAAGAACTGAGGTGGAGATGTGTGTTACGAGTGAATGGGCTTTTCTGGTTGAGAGTGTCACTTAAGACCCACCATCTTCATATAAAGGAGAAAAGGGTAATTTAAATTTTTATAGTGATCATAAAAACTGATTATGTAATGTTGGTTATTTATATGTTTGTCATTGAATAAAATAGCAGTGGTTTCATTATTTGGCACAACAGCAGTTATTTGGAACATACTTAATTTGAAGTTAAACATTTCGTTTGTTGAAGACACTGACTTATAACTCTTATTGAGGGTTTTTTTTTTAATGCAAAGTAAATTGTTTCCTTTTAAGAAAGGCCTGAATGTATCTGAGCACCATTTTAGAACAGTCAACACTTAAGATTTGTTGTTAAAGAAGAAGCAAACAACCCAATTCTAAAAATGCCCCTTTTGAAAATAGTGTGTGCTGATTAAGGGCTATTCATTCTGCCATTTTAAACCTGAGATACATTAAGAAAAAAAGGAGAGGTGTCTTGTTCTTTGATTATGAAGTACAGTAAGATCTGAAGGAAATCAGGGTTCCTCCCTCCCTGTCTTTGATCAGATCAGATTTAGTGCTTAGTCTTATTCCTGGTCCTGCCTCTTAACTCGGTGTGTGCCATACCCTTCCCTTCCTCCCGCGTTACAACCTTCACACCTCTCTTACATGAGCACAGTAATTATGTCCTCTTCGTTTTGGCTAGAGAAACTTGATTTAGACAAGTTAAAAATGGAAACAAATTAAACGTGTTAAAAAAAAAGTGCCCAACAGTTAGTGAGAGCTTCGTTGGTGTATGTTTTTCAAACTAAAGCCTACAGCACTGCAATTCTAAATGCTTTCTATTTGTTTTCTAGTACTTTCCATCCTACTTACATTTTTGGATTTCTTATTTTTTTGCATTTATGGTTTAATAAATGGGAGGTAATTTTTATAAACTTGTGTTAGTGCCAACTCACTTATATCTTTGTCATCTTAGAATTATTTGATATCTTTACCACCACTGTCTATAAAGGTTCCCCAGAAGCTTTTTGAAGGGAAATAAAGGTACAGGGAAAAATGAAAGAAATGTCTGGGTTACTGAGCTCTTAAATAGAGCAGCTTTGATAGCACTTCTCATGATATATTTGGGTTATTGCTATGTGAAGAAAAACCAACCCAAATCTGATTTAAAGACAAGAAGACAACTCCTGAGTTTTTTGCTTCTTCATTTGAGAACAAAGAAGTGAAAAGTCATGGGTCAGCATAAGATCTTGAGAACCCTTCTTTCTCTTGGAAAGCATTGTATGTTGGCACAGTAGTTTAAAATGGCAGCTGTGATTTTTGCCTATATTTGTAGTTACTGGTTTTTTGTTTGTTTTATACTTTGAGAGATATACCTGTAAATTGAGCCTATGTGAATTATGTTCTGCTGTATGTGTATTACAGTTCTTTTCCTATTAGAGCAACTTGTGTTTTTTCTGATAATGTAGATACATTTTGTTGAGGTATATATTTAGCAGTTTACGGTGTTCTAAATTTGGAAGTGAGGACTTTTAAAAAAATAAAACTTACTTTAATTTTCTTCTGTTTTCTAATATCTAGCTCTGAATGTAAATGATGTTTGTTGATATTTAAAATGAACACAATTTGAATGTAATTAAAATGCTGTTTTTGGAAGAGATGAACTTTAAATATACTTATTAAATGAAATTCTGTTAAAATATCTAGATCTTGTTATTTCTGACAGTCTATAATAGGGCTAAGGTAACAATGATCAACAATATCCCTTGAAATATTAGTGAATTTCAAACACCTTGAAGAATACTAAATTGATAGAGAAGGTGATGATTTTATATCAGTGTCTCCTCCTTGAAAAAATTTGCCTTATTACCATAAGGGGATGGAAAAAAAGCTCAAGATGTGTTCAGTATGAAATCTTTTGAATGTGTTCTCCGTCAGGACACTGCATCTTGGTAACGTGCCCCTGTATGCACTGCACACCCCAGCCTCACTCTTCCGGTTACAGCAAAGCTTGGTGTCGAGGAGAGCATAATCTCAAATGTGTACTTTAGGGAAAGACCGATTCATTTAAGACTTTGTCCTCAGAGACTCTTTCTTCACCATATATAAAGCTTTATTTCCTGCAACAGGGAAAGTCTGGAGGACCAAGTCAAATGAGCTTCACCCCTGAATCAACACCGGGGCACGCATCCTGCCCCTGAGCACGCCACCGATAGGTGACCACGCGTTCCAGTCTGTGAGCTTCCCGCAGCACACGCGCTCACTGTGCTCCAGAACTTTCCACAGATCCTCTTCATGCAAAGGCCCGCCACACAGTGCACTCACTTCTGCCCAAGGCCCCTGCGTGTGCCTCGGTCTTCGCAGCCACGGGTGAAATTTCCAGTCGGCTGTCTCATAAAATCACAAACGCTGCATACTGAAAATGGAACTACTGTTCTTTCCTACAACGTGCTCCACCAAAAGCTGCTCTCTCTTCAGCGGCCGCCATTTCCGCAAGGGGCGTGGGGGATGGGCTCGGAACACAGGTGTGTACAGCATGCTGTAGTGGAAGTTCTGTATTACAGTGATCCCATTTCCGTTTTGGTATACTCTAGCCAGGATTGAATGTATTAGATGAAATGGGAGGATCTTGTTTAATCTGAAACCCCCATTGCCCCCTTTCCGTCCCCCCCCCTTTTTTTTTAAAGATTTTATTTATTTGAGAGAGAGAATGAGACAGAGCATGAGAGGGGGGAGGGTCAGAGGGAGAAGCAGACTCCCCGCCGAGCAGGGAGCCCGATGCGGGACTCGATCCCGGGACTCCAGGATCATGACCTGAGCCGAAGGCAGCCGCTTAACCGACTGAGCCACCCAGGTGCCCCCCTGCCCTTTTTTTTACTTAAACATTTTTATGATAATTTAGGTGGAAGTTGTTTGTCAGTTAATGTTGGTTCTAGTCCTTCAAACTGTTCATATCTGCTTTATAACATTCACTGTACTAACCCTTCTTCAGGTTGTGGTGGGGGGGTAGTGACAGTTTAGTTACATCCTCAAGATAAAGTCTTAGTGAAAAATGAATAGATGTTCTTTAGTTACATTTAAAAAAATATTCCCTTGCGGTTGCTCAAGGCCAGAAAACTTGCAGTCATCCTTGACATCTTTCCTTTGCTTAATCTCATCCAGCAGAAAATTTTCTTGGGTCTACCTTCAAAATAGACCTAAACCCTGACTGTTTCTCCCCCCTCATCTGTCACAACCACTCTGGACTGAGCCATAGTCCTCCTCACCTGGGTTACTGAAACTGCTTCCTAAGATGCCTTCCCTCTTCGACCTCTCCCCCCTGCCACCAGTCTGTTTTCCACAGGGAAACCCACGATCCTTTCAAAACAATTTGCATTACTCGGCTGCTCAAAACCCTGCAGTGGCTCCCCATTTCTCTCAGGAGCCAAGCCCTTACAATGGCACCAACGTGACATGATCTGTCCTCTGCTTTCTCCACTCTAGCCACACCGGCCTTCCCACTGTTCCTTGAATATCCGAGGCCTGTTCTAGCGCAGAGATGTGTGTGAGCTGTTGGCTCTGCCTAGAATGCTCTTCCCAGAATATCTGTTTGGCCATCTGTAAACATGGGGTGATGTCCCTTTGAATTAGTGTTTTTGTATTTTTTGGTTAACATGTAGTGTTAGGTTTCCTGTGAAGTTTTCTGTAAAGCTTATTTAACTTTTAGAAGTAACATACAGTAAATCCAACTTTTTTTAAATGTGCAGCTCTGAATTTTGACACCAACACAGACTTACGGAACTTTCACCTCAATTAGGATACGGTTCCATCACCCCCAAAACGTTCTCATGCCATCCCTTTGTAGTAACAGCTTCCTCTCCCCACTCATGCCATCCAGCCATAGATCTGTTCTCTGACATTCTAGTTTTCTCATTTTGAGAATATACAGGTTGATTCTTACAGAATTGTAACCCTGTGGGACTGGCTTCTGTCACTCAGCATAATGCCTTTGAGATTGATCCAAGTTGTGTATATCAAAGTTCATTTCCTATTCCTGCCAAGTAGTATTTCATTGTATAGAATGTGCCACATTTTTTGGAAGCCATTTACCTGTCAATTACACACACGTGTGATTATATATAGAACAGCTAACCATTGGTGCACAGGTTTTTGTGTGGAAATGTTTCCGTTTGTTGAGTAAATACCTAGGACCGGGATTGCCGAATCAATGATGGTAAGTGTGTTTTATAAGAAACTGCCAAACTATTGTCCAGAGTGGCTATACCTGTTTGCATTCCTACCAGCAACGCTTTAGAGTTCTAGTTGCTCTATACTTGACAGCACTTACTATTTGGTCAGTATCTTTTTTTTCTCTTTAAGTTGAAAATACACATCAATTTTATGAAATTGTTGCTAAATTCCACTGAAGAATAATATAACTCTTACTACAAAGTACCTGTTCTGCATGTTATTTTGTTGTATTTGGTGCAGTAACTTCATAAATATAAATACACTGTAATCAGTAAGTTTAAATTGAGACACCTGCTAGAGGTAATCCGATATATCTAAGAAAGATGTGTTCATTACCTCTCTTCATTTCTTTTTATTTTATGTTATTTATTTTTTTTAAAGATTTTATTTATTTATTTGACAGAGGGAGACACAGCGAGAGCAGGAACACAAGCAGGGGAAATGGGAGTAGGAGAAGCAGGCTTCCCGCGGAGCAGGGAGCCCGATGCGGGGGCTCGATCCCAGGACCCTGGGATCATGACCTGAGCCGAAGGCAGACGCTTAATGACTGAGCCACCCAGGCGCCCCATCTTTTTATTTTTTTTATCGTGATAAATGTATTCCTTAATCCCCATCACCTATTTCCCCCATCCCCCACCACTTCCCTGCTGGTAGGTTTATTTTCTATAGTTAAGAGTCTATTTCTTGGTTTCTCTCTCTCTTTTTCCTTTGCTTATTTGTCTTATTTCTTAAATTCCATATATGTGTGAGATCATACGGTAATTGCCTTTCTCTGGCTTCTTTTGTTGGGCATTATACTGTAGCTCTATCCATGTTGTTGCAAATGGCAAGATTTCATTCTTTTTATGTCTGAATAATATTCCATTGTATATATTTGCCACTTCATCTTAACCCATTCGTCAATCGATGGACAGACACTTGGGCTGCTTCCATGATTTGGCTAATGCTGCAATAAACATGAGGTGATGTCCCTTTGAATTAGTGTTTTTGTATTTTTTGGTTAAATACCCAGTCATGCAATTACTGGATCATAGGGTAGTTCTATTTTTAATTTTTTGAGGAACCTCTATACTGTTTTCTTCCAGAGTGGCTGCACCAGTTTGCATTCTCACCAACGGTGCATGAGGGTTCCTTTTTCTCCACATCTTCACCAACATTTGTTGTTTCCTGTGTTTTTGATTTTAGCCATTCTATATTCAATATCTTCTGTTTTTATCATTTTTTTTAGATGTGCAATAGTATCTGATCATGGTCTTGGGTTGTATCTTTCTAATGGCTTCTAATGTTGAACATATTTTCATGTGCTTATTATGTCACTCAATCCATTCGGGCTGCTATAACAAAGTACCACAGACGGTGTAGCTTACACACCACAGAAATTTATTTCTCACAGTTCTGGAGTCTGAAAGTCCAAGATCAGGGTGCTGGCATCGTCAGGTTTTGGGAGAAGCCTCTTCTCAATTGCAGACTGCTGGCTTCTTGTGTCTTCACATGGTGGAAAGCGACACAAACGTTCAGCGTTTAGCAGTCACCCATTTATCTTCTTTGGTGAAGTGTCTCTCCAAGTGATCTGACCATTTTAAAATTAAATCCATTGGGGTGCCTGGGTGGCTCAGTCAGTTAAGCATTTGCCTTCGGCTCAGGTCATGATCCTGGAGTCCTGGGATCGAGCCCAATGTTAGGCTCCCTGCTCAGCGGGGAGTCTGCTGCTCCCTTTCCCACTCCCCCTGCTTGTGTTTCCTCTCTCACTGTGTCTCTCTCTGTCAAATAAATAATCTTAAAAAAAAAAAATTAAACCCATTGTTTTCTTACTGTTGAGTTTTGAGAGTTCATTATGTATAGTACTCCCCCTTTATGTACAGGGATACAGTGATCTCATACCCCCAGTGGATGCCTGAAACCATGGATAGTGCCAAACCCTATATACTGTGTTTTTTTTTTCTATACATACACACCTATGATAAAGTTTAATTTATAAATTAGGCATAGTAAGAGATTAACAACAACTAATCAAATAGAACCGTTATGAGAATATACTGTAATAAAAGTTATGTGAATGTGGACTCAATAACTGTACTGTAGCCACCCTTCTTGTGATCATGTGAAATGATAAAATGCTTGCATGACAAGATGAAGCGAAGTGAATGATGTAGGCATTGTGACATAGCGTTAGGCTACTACTGACCTGATGATACCTGAGGAGGAGAATCACTTGCTTCTGGATTGAGAGTGTGGGTACCTGAAACCTTGGAAAGGGAGGGCTGCTGTATTTGGAGTACAAGTTTTTTGGTCAGTTATGTGATTTGCAAATACTTTTTCTCTGCCTGTAGCTTGTCTTTTCGTTCTCTCCACAGTAGTTTTTATAGTTTTTTGTAGGTTTACAGTATTTTTTTGTAGTTTTAAATTTTGATGAACTACAATTTACCAATTTTTTCCTTTTATGGATTGTGATTTTGGTGTCATGTCTAAGAACTTTTTGCTTTATCCCAGGTTATGAAGTTTTTCTTCTATGTTTCTTCCTAAAAGTTTTGTAATTTTTTATTTTTAGATTCATGATCCATTTTGAGTTAATTTTTGTCCAAGTTGTGATATTTAGGTTGAGGTTCATTTTTATGCATGTGGATATTCAATGTGTCTAACACCATTGTTGAAAAAGTGCTCTTTATTGAATTGTTTTTGTACCGTTGTAAAAAATCAGTTTGCCATGTTTGTTTGGCTCTATTTCTGGAGTCTGTTATGTTCCATTGATCTATGTATCTGTCCCTTCACCAATACCGTAGTCTTGATTATTGGTGCTTTAGAGCAATTTTTAAAAATTGGGTAGTGAAGACTTACACTTTTTAAAAAAATGTATTTATTTAAAGTAATCTCTGCACCTGACGTGGGACTCAAACTCATGACCCCAAGATCAAGAGTCACATGCTCTTCTGGCTGAGCCAGCCAGTAGTCCCAAGGGCTTGCACTTCTAACTAAAATGAAGTAACATCGACCAGATTTACTTTCTTGCCTGAAACAACATATATATAAATACATGAAACAGTGGTTTTCAAGACACTGGACATCGGGCAGTGAAGAACAGTAATCCCTGAGAGATGAGAAACAAAGAGACCTGCCCAAGCCTACTGCCTTGTGAAATTTCCAGGCCATGGCACAGGGAGGGGGAGTTGAAGCAGAACTTGACAGAGTCCTGAGCAGAGGTGACAAGAGTCGAGAGTGGGGAAACCAAACAGGTAGAGTTCATAGAACAGAACACCAGAGGGAGGACTGCATACAGAGAGAACTCCAGAGATGTGTA